GCCACGGCCCAGCAAGCAGGAGGAGCCGTGCAGGGGTCGGCGCCCCACGGGTGTCCCCAAAAGGGCCCAGGGCGCAGGGTGATGGTGGTGGTGGTGCTGGGGAACGCATGGGGAGGCCCGCCGCCGAGCGCTTAGGGTCCTCTTTATATATATATATATATATTTTTTTTTTCCTTCTTCATTTGCAATTTTTCACCTTTAGCGATTGTTTCATCAAAAAAAGAGACGCACCCTCCCCCCACCCCCGACACACACACGCACAGCAGGGTTAGGGTTAGGCCGGGGGTCGGGGGGCGGTGTGTGTGGGGGAGTCCTTCCATGCTGTCATCTTTTGTGTAGGGTGGAAGGGAAGGACCCCCCCCCACACACACACACACACACTCCGTGTCTGGGCCCAGCCCCCCACGTCCCCCATGCGCGTGCACACGGATCTCCCCACACGGCCTTGGAGCAGAGGGGCGCCCCCCTCCCCGCCGCCCCATCGGGCGCGCCTCGCCATTGTCCGGTGTGTGTGTCTCCGCACCCCACACATCATCATCATCATCATCATCATCACCAGCAGCAAGCAGCAGCACCCTCCTCTTCCTCCTCCCTGCCACCCGCCACCCTCCCGCTCCGGGACGGTTAACGCCCCCGCCCCCCACCCCACAACCGCCTCACCGGCCTCTGGACAAAAGCGCAGCAGCCACAGCAGCAGCAGCAGCGGCGGCGGCGGCGGTGGTGGCGGTGGCGGTGGAGGCGGCCGGGCCCGAGCAGGCCGCGCCCGAGGCCTGGGCCTCGAGTGTCCTGGCAGCGGCGGCAGCAGCAGCAGCAGCAGCAGCAGCAGCAGCAGCGGCAGCGGCAGGCAGGTCTCCAGGCCCAGGCCTCCCCCGGGGACGCACGGCAGACGGCAGGCAGGCAGGCAGGCAGGCAGGCAGGCAGGCCGAGCCTGACCAGGCAAGGCCCGGGGACGCGACCCCGGCGAAGCTCTCACCTGAGGCGGCGCACACGCACACGGCGCGCGCACGGCCCGGGTCCCGGAGCTGCAGCGCGCGCTCCCCCAGCCCCCCGGCAGCCCCAGCACCGCGTCCCCGCCCTCGGCGTCGCCCCCTGCGGCCGCTCCTGCCGCTCCTCCTCCTCCTCCTCGGCGGCTGCCCGCCTTCCGCCAGCACCGACACACACACACACACACACACACACACACACACACACACACACGCGGGCGGGGCTCAACGGGCCGCGCGGCTGCTCCGCCCCGGCTGCCATTGGCCCAGCGCATGCACGCCCGCGCTGCTATTGGTCCGTACTGACAGTTCCGCCCCTCCCCTCCGCCAGGCCCATCCACACGGCACGGCCCTCCCTTCCCTCCCCCGCCCACCGGAGCCATCCTCGGCTTCTCATTGGCTACACGACCACAACGGGAGGTGTGGCGGGGGGGGGGAAGACACGCCGGCGCCCACTCACGTGCCTGCTGACCGGCTCTTTTCTCATTGGACGTACCAGCTGCCAGTCTAGAAGGGCAAGGCCAATCCGACGGAGGGTGGGCCCCGGATGGACAAGGAGAGCCCCCGCGAGGCCCGCCCCACGGCGGCACAAAGGGAAGCGAGGATTGGTGGACGGCCTCAGCCCGAGGCGCTGACTGGCTGAAAAGGATGTCTATCAATGGCCCCCTCCCAGGCCCCGCCCCACTTATCAGGCGGCGGCTGAGTACGTGAGGCCCAGCACAGCGTCGGCCGCGGGCATCGTGTAGGGGATCAGAGTTCGAGCCCCGGAGCCGGAATTGGGGGCGCCGTTTCTGAAGTAGCCGAGTTGCAGGGGAGTTTAGGGAACTTAGCACCGAAAGCAACCCGTTTTTTGCTAAAGAGGATTGGAAAACTGGAAGCATGTAAGCTCCAGGAGCAGTGATTCCAACACACAAACAGAAAATCCTTGGCCGGGAGGAGCAGGGTGGACGGGGTGGGGGACGCTGCGGAATGAACTGAGCTGCCCCTGCCCCATCCCCCGAGTTCCCTGTGGAGTTTGCGAGAGAATTCTGCTTCCCTTAGGACGTGGGATCTGCTGCCTGCCCTCCCACCCCCACTCCCGGAGCGGTTGCCAGAATTACGTGGGACGAGGCACAAGGCAGGGTTTGGGTTCCCCCCACCCTCCCCCGTTGCAAACCATTCGGGCAGGTCTGCCTCCCCCCTCCTCATCCTCACTGTGACCCAGGAGAACCAGGGCTCTGCACATGCCGCCCCCCACCCCGACCCTGCCCTGCCGACCCTGCACCTCGCACCTGCTGGCGACCCAGCCTGTGCTCGCCACACCCCCACCGGCTCCACCCTGCTGTGCCCAGTGGTGACCTCTACGTCCAGGGGTGATCTGTGCCTACTCCCACCCGGGGGGGGGGCACAGGTTCAATGTCAGTCCCACTCAAGTGCCACCTTCCCCAGCAGAGAGCCTGGCTGCTGGAGGAAGGCTCCTAAGTGAACTTGAATGTGTTCTGGGCCACCCAGGTTCTTTGGGGACCCCTGCGTGGGTACCTGTTGCTGGTGGAGTTTGTTACACAGCTGCAGGTACGGGGCGCAGTCAGGCACGAGGTGGGAGAGCCGAACAGGTTGGCAACTCACTTGTTAGAGATTTTTTTTTTTCCAGTGCCATGTATCAATCGGGACATTTTAAGATTTATTTTTGGGCCCAGCATGGTAGTCCCACTTCCTAGCGGCCCCACTTCCCATCCAGCTCAGATATACAGAGAAGAAAGAGAGGAAGATCTTCCGTTAGTTCATTACCCAAGTGGTTACAATGGCCGGAGCTGCGCCAATCTGAAACCAGGAGCCAGGAGCCTCTTCCTCTGGGTCTTCCCCATGGAAGGCAAAGGGTCCCAAGCCCTTGGACTGGCTTCTGCTTTTTCCTCAGACCAGGGCGGTGTTTGCAAGTGCAAGATTAGCCACAGAGCCAGCATGCTGACCCCAGGACATGGAATCATAATGTTCACAGGCTTGGATATTTTGACCCACAGGGGAAAGTCAGAAGGAGTTCTCAGCTCCAGGCATGACCAGGCCCAGCCCTGGGGGAGAGGCAGGCACAAACCATGCTCCCTTCCCTCGGCCTTCTAAATAAGTAACCAGCCAACAGGGTAACAGACATGGGTCCAGCGGCATCAAGGAGCGCCACGCAGCCACGAACAGGAACAAGGCGCCGACATGCACCACAAAGTGGGGAGCCCTCATTTCCCGTACACAGTGGGATTCCGTGTTAAGTTTCTTGGGGGGGGGGAGGAGTTTTGTAATGCGTGAGGAGGGCGTGCCCAACCCCAAACATGCTAAAAACTGGTGAACCCGAGGCCAGTGCAATGGCTCAGTTGGCTAATCTTCCACCTTGCACGTGCCGGCACCCCATAGGTTCATGTCTCGGCTGCTCCATTTCCCATCCAGCTCCCTGCTTGTGGCCTGGGAAAGCAGCCTTGGGACTCTGCGCCTGCATGAGAGACAACCCCGAAGAAACTTCTGGCTCCTGGCTTCAAATGTCAGCTCAACTCCAGACATTTCGGCCACTTGGGGAGTGAACCAGCAGAAAGAAGATCTTTCTGTCTCCCCTCCTCTCCGTAAGTCTGCCTTTCTAACCAAAACTATATATATATATATACATATATAACCTATTTGGGACTCAGGGTTCCTGGGGAATAAAGGAACCAGTTGCTTTTTCCTTTGTAAAGACAGGATGAGGCAGAGAAGTACGCCAAGCACTTGCAGAAACACCTCAGTGAGCCACGGTGTCACGCCATCTGATGCATTTCTGAAAAAACATTTATTTTGAGAAATCTAAAATCTTGACATGGAAAATGGAACTTTAGAAAAAGCCCACACACACTCTTATTGCTTCTTCACTGATATATTAACAAGCTAATCAGAAGGCAGCCAGAAACAAACAAACAAACAAAAAAAACCTTTAAAAGTACTATTGCTCCAGTTTGTCTGCAGTTTTGTGATTTAAAAATATCCCTGTTCTGTTGAGGTATAGGCTGCAAACTTTGGTAAAGTTAGAAAAAAAATGAACGAAACCACTCAAAAAAAAAAAAAGACAAAATACAGAAGCAAAGTTTTCTCTTTCTGGATACATACACAGTAACTACAAAAAACCAAACAAACAAACAAACAAAAAAAAACTTTAGATTTTTCAGTCACTGAGTTAAAAAAAAAAAAAAAAAGTGAAGCGGTCGCTGAAAGTGGCAGCGCGCCCAAGCACCTGGCTGGCAAGTTTCAAAATATTCAGTGCTTCAAAAAAAAAAAAAAAACAAACAACCAGAGCCCCATCTTGACGAAGAAGGCAGCCAGCGAAGGCACTCGCACGTGCTCATGTGCGTGGACAGCTCGTGTTCTATGTGGAGCCCAGGGCGCCCCCCGCCCGGGCCCAGCGCTGTACCCACCCCGTGGCTTGGGGACACCCAAGGCAGGGGTGCATCAGAGGCAGCAGCGGCGGCAGGGGTGGGGTCGGGGGGGCGGCATGTGGCCCAGGGCCCATTTCCTCTCTTCCTTGCGACAATTTCATGGCAGATGGCCGGGGCCTCGCCGGGCCGGCGGCTAGCACCAGGACCCTCCTGGCTGCCTCTTCCCTCTGGCCTGCACCGGCCGAGGGGCCCCCAGGCTTCTAGATCTCGCCAGCTATAAGGGGCCGGGGAGCAAAGGTGACTTCAGGCCAGGACGTTGCAAATTCCGCCTCCAAAAATGCTGTGTTTTAGTGTGGTGCAGGTGGCTTTTGGGTACGTGGCAGGCTTTATGTTTTTAAAAACAAAACAAAACAAACAAACAAAAAAAAAAACAAGAGAATCTTAACACGGAAAAATCCAACTTCCGGTCAGCAATACGGATTCCTGAACGTGGCAACAGATGTGGGGTGCGGAAGGGAGAAGGAAGACAAGCATTTTGCGTGTTTGGGGAATTGGAGGGCCCACTCGCTACAAGTTTAAATTAAAACCCTCTACGAAGGGGACCTGGGTGGGACCCTGCAGCAGGTGCTTGGGGCGGCACGGGCCGTCGCCATCATCGGCCACTGCCGTAGCCAGGGAAGAGGTGGTTGAGTACGCTCTGCAGCGCCTGGTTCACCTGCATGGCATAGCTCCGGCCCAGGTCGTGGCGGCAGGCCGGGCAGCTGAACACCTGGGCCCGGAAGGACCTGTCCAGGCAGTCCTGTAAGAACGGAAAGGGCGGGTAGGTGAGACACATTGGGGGCTGCTGGCTGTGTCACCCCGCCCCTCAGCCAGGGAGGGACAGAGGCCCGCCACCTGGCCGCCCACCACGGAGCAGGTGCTTCAGGACGCAGGTCACCCAGGGAGAAGAGGAGGACGTGGTGGTGGTTGGCAGGGGGCAGTCAGACACCAAGGCAGGCTCCAAGTCAGCCCCCCACCGACTGCCTCGTGCCTGCTGGAGACAGGGGACGCAGCGCAGGGCTGCTGGGGTCTGACAGGCCTTGGCAAGCCCTGACTGACTTCTAATTATATCATCTGCCATGCCAGGGGTGGGTGTGGGCACCTGCCCAGGTGTGCTCCGCTCAGGTGGGTGAGGCAAGGGCCACGTGGGGCACGCGCCGGGCACTGTCCTGGCACTGCCCACCCTACTCCGCGCTCTCACTTTCTACACTCACAAACTCCAGAACCTGGCTTTGTCAGAGTGAGCCTGCGCCAGTGACACCACCACCTAGATGTGACGTCTTTCTGGGTGACATAGTTGAGGCCAGGGCTGAGGCCAAAGAGGGGCTCCGGCGGCTCCAGGCCCACGGGTGAACGCAGAACACGGCTGCACTGCAGAATGACCCAGCCCTGAACAGGACGCAAGTCCCAACCCTCCCCAACATGGAGGGACCTGGAAGATGGCTTGCTCAAGACACAAGGACACAAGGAGCCACTCCCAGGAGGGCCCTGGAGTCGCCTGGACCCCCAGACAGGAAGCAGGACGAGGCAGGGCTGGCTGGGGGATGAGAGCTCTGCGTGGTGGTCCTGGGGATGCAGTGTCCCCCTCCCCAGCCTCTTCAGATTCCCCCAGTGGGATCAAATGGGCTGCAAGTGAGGCTTGCCACGGGGCCGCCTTGTGGTTCCCCTGCCCAACGTGGCAGCTCCCACACGTGTTGTGCTCTGACCCATCCTTTCCAGGATGGAACTAACGCCACCTCCTCCAGGAAGTCGCCCCATCCTGCCCCTCCTGGGGACACGCCCCTCAAAAGTTCTTATCCAGCCCGCCCCTTCCCACCCTGGACCCTCAGCCACCTAAGGGAAATCCCTGGGTCCCTGCCACCTACACGGCAGGCCCGGATGCAGCTCCCGGGCTCAGACAGGGAGCACCAGGGAACGGGCATGCTCCATCTCTCCATCAGGCACGCGGCTGCTGGAGGGCGAGCCAGGCAGAGGAAGGCAGGCGGCTGAGAGCCACGCACTAAGCAGGGCTGCAAGCAGGCAGTGTCAGGACCCTCGGTCCAGCAAACAGCTGCAGAGCGTTCGGGAGCAACCAAATCCCAGTAGGGGCCAGTGCCGTGGCACAGAGGACTAAGCCACTGCCTGTGGAGTGGACACCCCATATAAGGGCACTGGTTCCAGCTGCTCTACCCACTTCCATTATACCCAGAAGGGGGATGTGGCTCAGAGCCCTGGCTCCTGCCTGGCTGTTAGGGGAGCTCCACCTCTCTGTGCCCCCGAAAGCAGGAGCTCGAGGTGGAGTTGGGGACCGCGGCGGCAGCCCACCTTGCACACGTTGTGCTTGCACGCGGTCGTGACGGGCCGGAACACCAGCTCCTGGCAGCAGATGCACTGGAAGGTCTCCTCCACTTTGCTGAGGAACACCTGTAACTGAGGGACTGGGCCGTCAGGGGGAGCAGCAGGCCCCGAGCCCGCACAGGCCACGCCAGCCCCGGCTGCCAGGTGGAAGGTGCTGGGGGCAGGGCTCAGGGGAGGCTCAGGGTGCCGAGCCCCAAGCCTGGAGGGGGTGACGACAGGGGAGCCCGCTCAGGGACCACTCACCGGGCCGTCCTTGAGCGACTGCATCACCTCGCTCCATAGCTTGGCGTTGCTCTTGTCCTCGCGGATGAGGCTGGTCTGCTGGGCCGTGAGGCTGTATGATTCCACTTTGGTCTTCTTGGCCCGGCCTGAGGAGCTAGGACTGTCCTGGTCTGGAAGGAGGCGCAGGGTGACAGTGATGGTGAGGGGGGCGGGGCCATGGGTGGGGTGGGCGGGGCCATGGGTGAGCAGGTGGTGGGGTGGGCGTGACCCTGCAGTGGGTGAATGGGCCAGGGGACTCCCACCTGTCCCTGCGGCGCCCCTCCGCTTGCACAGGGCTTTGCCCTTGCCACTGGCCTTCTTGGCCGCCGGCTCCTCCTCGTCCGACTGCTTCCTGGCCGCCTTCTTGGCCGCCGGCTCCAACTCCTCCTCCTCCTCCTCGTCTGACTGCTTCCTGGCCGCCTTCTTGGCTGCCATCATCTTCTTCCTGTTCTCCCGCTCCCGCTCCCGGGCTTTCAGGTAGCCCTCTGGGTACTGCAAGCAGGGAGCAAGGATGTGGTGAGAGCCAAGGCCGGGGGCTGCTCGCTGCCCGCCCTGCTCCATCTCCAGGGCCCTGACCCCGGTCCCCCCCCCCCAGGAGAACCTCCTGTGCACTCAAGGGTCCCTGTGACACCTTAGGCCCCCCGGCTGCTGAGTCCCAGGTAGGCAGGCACCAGCTCAGCCTCTGGGCGGATACTCCCCAACCCCAGGGCTCCCTGACCTCCCCACAGGCATCACTGGAAGATGGCCCGTCTCTAAGGCAACACCATCCCACCTGTGCTTCAAGAAACCCTGGCCCTTCTGTAATAAGCTCAAGTCACGAGGACAGGAGGACAGCTGGCACCCTCGGGACCTCTGCCCCCACCCTGCTGCCTGCCTCCCACGGGGTGCAGCGCTCCAGGGACCACCCCAGGTGACCCCTGGGGGCCAGGGCCTGCCAGTCTCCAAGTGGCAGCAACCAGGATTCCTTCAATAGCCTCCTGTCGAGCCACACTCCCTGGCCATGACAGCACTGCTGTCGGGAAGCTCGCCAGGTAACGAGCCAGAATTGCAGTGCAAGGGAGATTCTGGCACTGGGAGGGAGAGAGGGGCGCTCAGCCTCCCCTCCTGTCCCCTCTGCTCTCTGCTCCTCTCTGCTCTGCAGGCTGGCAGCACCCTGAGGTGGGACACCCCCACCAGCCTCTGCCCTGCCAGGCCAAGCATCCCACGGCGTCTGACAGGGAACCAGCCAGACTGTGAAGCCCCACCCCTGCGCCCCAGGACTCACCTGCATGGTGAGGCCCAGCTTCTTCATCCGGTCCTTCCCCTCCTTGGTCCACGGGCCTGGCTCCTCGTCATCCCGCCGTAGCAGGTAGCGCCACACGAGGAAGCCGGACTTGCCCTTCTCCGGCCAGTACTTCACCACCTGCAGGGGCGAGGCCGGGCCTTCAGCGCCACCGTGCGGCTCCCTCAGGGCCGCGCAGACCGGTGGGCACAGCTGGCCGGCCGGCTCACCTTGTAGATGCCATCGTAGCGGTTGCCCTCGGCCGGGGCGTACTTGCTGTGCTTGCCGCCCTTCATGTTCCGTACCACTCGCACCGGCTTCCCGGACCTCCAGTCCTTGGCCTCGGCCCCCCGCCGGTCGTTGATGGGGGCACAGCAGTTGAGGGCCAGCGCCCTGTGGGGACAGCCAGGAGGTCACATGTTCACAGGACCGGAGGGAAGATGGCCGGGACACGGCCGGGCCAGGCCAAGCGCTCGGGCAGCCCAGACCTCCAGTCCTTGGCTCCCGCCTTCAACCTGGCCTGGCCGTGGTCGCAGACACTCAGGGTGTAAACCAGAGGATGGGAGCTCCCTTCCCTTTTCTGTCTGACTTTAAACAAGTGATGAAATTTTCAAAAATAACCTAAGTACAGACCGAGGAGGCCCCCTGGTACGCACCTGTTGGTGTTGGTGAGCTTCTGATCACACGACTGCTCGGCCGTCCGCTTGTTGCCAGAAAGATCTCGCCCACCACTGCCCGTGTACGTGAAAAAGTTCCCGTGATCCTGAAGCAGACGGGAGGGGCGAGGGGCCGGGTGAGCAGGGAGGCACCCCGACACCCCCAGGAACCTGCAGTCCTGTGTGAGGCCGGGGGGGGGGGGGGGGCGGGGGCAGACACTGCGGATACCCGCCTGGCCATGGCGGCAAGGAGTGTGCCCCGAGGAATAAGATGGGGCTCCTGTGGGGGCCCCCCAGAGCGAGGGCTCGGAGCAACCCGCACGTGGGAGCAGCCATGTGCCTGAGCACGGCTCGGGGCATCACCCCGCCACGTGACACGGGGGGGGGAAAAGCCCGTGAAAGGGACAATAACACTGCCACCCGACCCCACGCGGAGGGAGGGCCCCTTAAGGACGTCAGGTGCTGAAGGACTGACCCTACAAGGAGGATGCCACTTCCAGGAGGCCCACAGTCGGGCAAAGAGGGGGTGGCGGAGAGGTTGGGCACTGGGGAGAGCAGAAAGTTCTAGAGACGGGGTGAGGAGGGCCGTCCAGTCCTGGGAACGCACGAGGCGGCAGAGAGCGTGGTCAGCGCGGGGTTCAGTCGGGAAGACGAGGTCCCCTGCTACAGACTTACCACGTCATCCTCGTAGCCGCCCGCCAGGACCAGCGAGTAGGCTCCATCATTGCTCCGGCCATGGATGCCCGCCACGTGAGGCCGGTGGACGCCCGCCTCGCTCACCTGTGGCATTGCGGAGCAGCGAATGGCACCTCAGGGCTGGGCGGCCTGCCTCCCCGCCCACCCCACACCCCAACACAGCTGACCGCGCGGGCACCACTTCAGCTGTGGCGTAGGGTACCCTGTTCCCTCACTGGGGGATGCCTGGCTGGAGCCCCGGCCCTCCCACTTGGTATCCAGCCTCCTGCAGATGCTCCTGGGAAACAGCTATGACAACTCAGGCGCATGGGCCCCTGCCACCCGCGTGGGAACCCTGGACTGAAGACCCTGGCCTCGGCCTGGCCCAGCCCCGGCTGCTGAAGGCATTTGGGGCAGTCAGAGGGGAGAGGAATCTCTTTCAAATAAAAAACCAAAATCTGATATTTTTTAAAGGGGGACACCCAGCATTACCTAAGGACATCTTGGGGGGGCCAGAGAATACAGTCTGTAGTGCCCAGGACAGCCCCACCCCAGAGCAAGACCCGGTCCCCGTGTCCACAGCACCCCAGAGCCACGTCCCAGGGGCACAGGGCGTGGAGGGGTCCTGCACCCAGGAGGGGTCATCCTCTCCGGGCCATCCTGGGAGGCTGGTGCCAGGACAGACGGCCAAACAGGCTACGGGACATGGCCGGCGGCGTGCAGGTACCTGGACTCGGAAGCGCCACATGGTGCCCACGGGGATGCCTGGGATGGGTCCATAGTGGTTGGAGGGGACGATGGTGCATTCCTTCGTGCGCCCCACACAGGCCATGCCCTGTCCGCCGTGGAAACAGGGGGGATGGCGTGTGAGGGCTCGGGGAGGGCAGGCCGGACAGGGAGCAGGGGGCGTGGCCGAGGGAAGGGGCAGGGCAAGGCCAGGATGGGCGTGATCAGAGCTTGTGGTGGGCGGGGCTTGGATGGGCATAGCCAGGTGGCAGTGGGCGGTCTGTGTGGGCATGGCCATGGAATTGGTGGGCGGGGCTTTTGGGTGGGCGTGGTCATGCTGTGATGGGCGGGCGGTGTGGGCGTGGCCGGGAAGAGCATCCCTGCAGTCTCACTTTGCCCCAGTCCCGCTGAGAGGACGAAGTGGCCGATGCCATCTTGGCTTTCTTCTTGCTCTGCCGCAGCCGCTCTCCGGCCCGCACCACCTCGGAGGCGTCGATCCGGCAGTCGGGACAGTACCTGTGGGGACAGGCGGGGAAGCTCGCGGGCTGGCTGTGGCCCTGCACGCTGGGCAGGCTGTGGCCCGGGGCTGGGTGGTCCTCAGCAGGGAGCCCCAAGCGTGTCAGAGCGCTGCCCAGGGCACCCTGTGGGACGGCAGGTCCCCATCCTGGCAAGCAGCAGCCAGGACCCTCTTTCCACAGGGTACTCTCTATTCATCCAGCCCCACAGGCCCAGGACCCCTTCCCGCAGGGCGCCCCACCCGCCGACCCCACAGGCCCAGGACCCCTTCCCGCAGGGCGCCCCACCCGCCGACCCCACAGGGACCCCTTCCCGCAGGGCGCCCCACCCGCCGACCCCACAGGCCCAGGACCCCTTCCCGCAGGGCGCCCCACCCGCCGACCCCAGGTCCAGGACCCCTTCCCACAGGGCGCCCCACCCGCCGACCCCACAGGGACCCCTTCCCGCAGGGCGCCCCACCCGCCGACCCCACAGGCCCAGGACCCCTTCCCGCAGGGCGCCCCACCCGCCGACCCCACACCCGCCCAGCGCTGCGCTCCACCACTGTCACTCTCACCACTCGGGGTCGCTGGGGACGGCGGGGAGTGGGGGGTCCAGGCAGTAGATGTGGAAGGCCATGTCGCACTCGTCACACAGCAGCTGCTTGTCCGGCTCCTCGCGGCCGCCGCACTTGTGGCAGGCGCAGACACGGCACAGCTTGGACAGGTCGTCTTTGCAGTACTTGCACGAGGGGCCGCTCTTTCCTGCACACGGAATGGCGTCAGGGAAAGCCAGGGGCCCCCCCATAGCCAACCCCGGGGGTGGCGGGGAAGCCCTGCCACTACCCACGTGCCCCAGGGATCCCGGGGACGGCAGGGACGAGGAAGACTGGCCAGCACTCACGTCTCAAGGGGTTGTCAACCATGGGAGGCCCCTCGCCCGGGCGCTCGATCTTGAAGACCTCGTCCACAAAGAGGATGCGACAGTTGTTGAGGGAGCCGTCCCTGTAAGAGACGGGCCGTGGACATTCAGCCATGCTGCCTGCGCAATCCCCCAAACCCCACGAGGGTCCCCCAAACACCCACAGAAAAGATGTATTCAACACCAAATGTGTGTGGATCTCGAAAGCAGCCAGACACCAAGACCCCCTAGTCTTTTAGTTCCATGTCCTAGGAACACTCCAGAATACCCTCCAAGAGACCACACCTTTCCCACTTGGCATGTGAGAGATGGGGGCCTGGCCCGTGGGATTGAAAACACGAAGTTACCAAGACCTGGGCAGCAAGAAGCATGCTGAGACGCGCCCCCTGCCGTGGCCCCCTCACCCCGACCCCTCTGCCAGCACTCCCGGGGGCAGGGGCATCCTGACATCTGACAGGTACAGCACCCACCTGCCAGCTGGCTCGCTCCCCAAACGCCTGCCACGGCCACAGGCTGTGTGTCCCCCGCGTGGGGGGCGGGCCCTATCTGCCGTCTGCCAGTGGGTATCAGGAGAGAGAACTCCCACCCAGGCCCTCAGGGTCCCCAGGGGTGCACTGGCCCCTGTCCTGCGCCGCCCCAGAATTCTCAGGCGAGTTAACACAAGAGTGCCACTGGCCACGTGAGGCACCTCCACAAGGGGGCCTGTCGCTTAACCTAGAGAACACAAGATGGCTGCAGGATACCGGCGAGCAAGGTCGTAATCCTTTTGCGTGAAGCGTTCACAGCATCCTGCCTGAGCAGAAGTCAAGAACTCGAAGGCATGCATCAAGGAGTGGATCCCGTTGGGAGCCCAGACCGCCCGGGGAGGGCCTTCCCCACCGGTCCACAGGCTGGCACACAGGGACGCCACGAGAGGGCCTGCACTGGAGGGGCTGGCGCTGTGGCATGGCAGGTCACGCAGCAGCTTCCACGCCAGCACCCCACATTGGGAGTGCTGGCTGGAGTCCCGCCAGCTCCTGGTTTGCTCCGGCTCCCGAGCCGGCCCTAGCCCGGCCCCACCTCTCATTTGGGGAGAGGGACAGTGGCAAAAGATCTCCTGCTCCCTCTGCGCCACTCTGCCTTCAGAGACCCCAGTGCGAGGGACCAACTGTGGCACAAAGGCCACGAGGAGGGTGAAGAGCCGCCCACGGGGGACAAGGTGGGACCCGCCTCCGCACGCGTGCACCTCTGCTCTGCACGGGGCAAGCCCACATCGCCACCGCCTGAGGTGTGCAGAGACGCAGGGCCAAAACCCAAGATGGCAGGGCGGGTTGGCCCAGAACCATGCATGCCACGCACACTGCACCTGCCGGCCAGAGGAGCGGCAAAGCCCCGCTCGGTGCCCTTACCGCCTACGCTCGGCTCCTGCCTGCCCTCCCCGGAGGAGACCCTGATGAAGCTCCTGGTTCCAGCCCAGCCCGGAATCAGCCATTGCCAGCCATCCAGGGAATGAACCAACAGGTAAGAGCTCATCTCTGTCTCTCCCTCTAACAAACAAAAAGGGAAGTGAACGCCAGGGGGCGAAGCACTGGACTGCTGCCACTTGCAGAGGCCAGTGCCGCACAGCACAGTGGGTTAAGTCTCCACCTGTGGTGCCAGCAACCCCTGTGGACGCCAGTTCAAGTCCCGGCTGCTCAGCTTGTGTGGCCTCTCCTGTTTGGGACACCCACACGTGCGATGGGAGCGCTGGCTGGAACCACAGCCGCCCCACTTCCGACCCAGAGTCTGGGAAGGCAGTACAGCATGGCCCAAGGGCTACGGACCGCACTGCCCATGGGGGAGACCTGGATGGAGCTCCTGGCTCCTGGCTCCCACCAGGCCACAGCCACCACAGCTTCACGGGGAGGGAACTACACCTCTCCCTGACTCTCTTTCAGAGAAATAAAATCCTTTTGCAAAGGAGAACACAAACCGAAGGATTCTGAAATGTGTTCGCTACGCGGAAACGAGAAATGTCTCAACAGACACGCGTGTCGTGGCTCGGACCCCACACGCTGCGCGCATGCGCGAGATCCGTCTATCTGCGAGAACCGAAGCACACCCACACACACTCACCTCCCACCAGCAAACACCCGCCTGCTGCTCAGAAAACTCCAGCCACTCGGGGGTGGAGGGGGGACGGCCCTCCGACCGTCCCTGACCCCAGCCTGGCCGTACGGGGCTCACAGGGGCCTACCCAACGTCACACGGACAGGCACTGGAGCAGGTGACCACGCCTTAGAGGGCCCAGGGATGCCAGCGATCAGCGGCCCCCAGCGGCCACTGCGCCTTCCTCTGGGCTTTCCTGCTGTTCCTGCCTGCCACAGCCCACTCTACAGCGAGGCCCACCGGGGCAGACCCCCAGAGTCTGCTCACCAGCTTCCTCCACCCCAGACACCCCTGAAGGCCCACGCCCCAAGTGCGGGGAGTGCTGCACAGACTCTCTCACCCTGGCCCTGCCCCTGCACCCCTGCCGGGCGGCCTGCTACAGCGACCCACATCGCCCTGTGCAGCGACTCTGACATCACACTAAACACAACCTCACAGGATGCACTCCTGGGGGGGGGGTCCCAGAGCCCTCAGACCCGCAGAAGGGCAGCGGAGTGGCAGGGCCAGGGGCAGGTGCGGGCCGGAGCCTCTGAGTGGGACAGGGAGAAAGCTCTGGAGGACAAGGAGGAAAGGAGCGGGGTGAGCCCACCAGTGGTGGGCTCCGGTGCCCCCAAGCTTGGCCTGGCTCATCACACCACCCACCGACCGCCCGTGACACAACAGAGAGCAGCGCTGTCCCTCGGGGCAGGTCCCCAGGCAGCGGGCCCGCAGGGCTCACCCGAGCATCACGTTGGCGTAGAGCTCCCGCGCCGTCCTGGTCTCCCGCTTCCGGCACACCTCAGCGTCGTACCAGAAGCCGCGTTCCTTCGGCTGGTCGGTGTTGTAGTTGAGCATGACCAGCTGGCCCACGGCCAGATCCTCCCACTTGATGATGGTGCGGGCGCGTGCCCGCACGTCCCGGGAATTCATCTGGACCACGCCGTTCTCCGGGTAGCTGGTGGGGAAGGGCCCTTGTCAGAACCCTGCGGCCATGCTCTCCGCAGGGAACACAACGTCCCGGGGAATGCGGGATGCCCTGCCATGCCACCATCCGCCCAGCAGCACAGGTTCAAGTCCTGGCTGCTTCACTTCTGATCCAGCACCAGCACAGCTGGGAAAGCAGCGGAAGATGGCCCGAATGCGCGGGCCCTTACCACCCAGGAGGGAGACCCGGATAGAGCTCCACGGGCGTGGCTTTGGCCGTGCCGCCCTTGGGCAGTGAACCAGTGGATGGAGGGTCTCTTTGTCTGTCGTATTTCACGCGGCGCACAACATCCCAGCTCCAACTCACTCGTCGTATTTCACGTGATAGATGATGTCCTCCTCCAGGTCCGGGCTGGCCGTGGAGCTGCTGGGCGCGTCCCGGGATGAGACCCGCCGTGTCACCCGGACCACCTGCGCCTCAAACCAGGCCCCCATGTTCGTGTCGCGGGCATCCACGTACTCATTGACCTGCGAGAGACAGGGAGCTGTCATCAGGGCCCCGCAGGGATGCCTCGGGCCTGGACACGACCAGTGCAGCAACCTCAGCCACGGCTCTGGTGACATTCAAGGGCCAGATCCTACTCTGGGGTCCCAGCCTCCTCACTGCACGCGGGGAGCACCCCAGCTGTTGACCACCACAGCCGTCCCTCTGGGCGACAGTGCCCTAACCTCACCTTGTACAGCCCCAGCTCCGTCTCGTCCCAGACGTCCTCGTCGGCAAGGCGGGCCTGGCTGTCCGCCTCGGGGGCGGCTTCGCCCTGAGTGGAGGCGGACTCGCTCTGGGCCAGGCAGCACCCCGAGTCAGTGTCCGACAGCTCCGAATCCCGCTCCTTGGCACTAGGGGGCAGCACGAGGCTCTGGCGGACCAACAGCTGGATCGTGTCGTTGAGACGCACGTCGTAGTCAAACAGGGTGTGGCCGTCCTCCATCTGCAGGTAGGCCATGACACAGGCTGCGGTGGGTCCCTCTGTGCGCCATGCGGGCACCAGGAGCAAGGTGCTGCCTGCCCACCCCCACTCCTAAGGGGGCTGCCTCTCGCCCGGCAGCCTGGCAGGGTTCAGTCAGACTAAAGGGGAGTTGGGGGGGATGCTTAGGAAGTGGGGCCCGGGGAGCTGCTCATTTTTGCTGCAGTGAAAACACGTCCCTGGCTCCCTGACTGATAAGGGCTTCTGGCGCCCGCATACAATCCTGGGCTGCTGCAGGCACCCACCAGGCTTTGATGTTTAAGGGATTTAAGGGCGGGGAAAAAAAAAAATTTGAGAAGCGAAGTAGCCAGGAGGGAAAAGAAAAAAAAGAAAGGGATTATCCATTCTCTAGTTCACCCCCTCCCTGCAGCTCAGCAACAGCCAGGAGCTCCATGCGGGTCTCCCACACACAGGTGACAGGGGCCCAAGCCCCCGCCCGGGCCAGCCTCTGCGCCTTTTGGGCACGTGAGCAGGGAGCTGGGCGCGAAGTGTGGCAGCCCAGCCTCCGCCAAGGCCCTGGGGCGGGGGATGCTGCTACCTGTGCAAGCTTGGAGCTCAGTCCACAGCAAGCAAGCGTCTCTTATGTCACTGATGCTTGCCCAGGAGGTGGGTCCCCCGCGTGTATCAGGAGATGCATGGCCATATCAACCACACATGTCCCCACACGTGGTGTGGTCTGCCTGGTCCAAGGAGGAAAGGAAAGAGGAAGAGGGACACACACACACACACACACACACACACACAGTGCAGCTTCCCTCGGGCTAGCTGCCATTCCCCCAGGCTGGCCCAGTCCCTATTAACATGCAAATAGCACCTGGGGTCACGGCCTGGGGGTGAGAGAGACCTGGGAGGCGTGGGAGGCTGAGCCTGCAGGGGGCAGGGGAAAGTGCACTTGAACTCATCCACTTTCCCGCGCTGGACCTGCGGGCTGGGGGCCTCTGGGGTTGTTCCCACCAGCCCTCAGGAGGGCATGGCCTGCCGGGAGGCGGAGCATGGCATGAGGAGAACCAGCCTGCTTGTACACACATGTCCCTGCAGCTGTGGGGCACAGACCACCTGGTGTCCGCTGCCCAGCATGCCGCCTCCGTACGGTGGACACTAGGTGGCCACAAACGGGGGACTACCCGGGGCACCAACAGTGGCTGACAGCACAGGCTCGGCTCTCCTGCAGGGGGACTGTGGACTCCTGTGCTAGCCTGAAGACACACAGAACCACGGAGTCACACCCTTCGTGGCTGGGCCATGTGGGTACACTGTTTCTAGAAAAGACCAGAAGCCAAACCACAAAGCGCCCTCCCACACACCTGCTGCCCCATGGGATTGGAAGGGGAAGAGCCACATAAGACGAGGGGACTAGGACAGCGACTGGGACGCAGTGGGACACCACCACTGGCCACACATCGCCACACCCACGGAAGCCCAGCACCACGTGCCTCTCCATGGGCACCAGGGGCCGGGGCAGGGAGCTCCCTGGGGCTGTGAACGCCAGTGACCCCAGCCTAACAGTGACAGGGACACATTAGGCAGCCATTAGGAAGGGGCAGGACACCCCGGGGGGGACCGTACTGAGAACTGCAAACCATGGCTATGCCAACCTGAGGTCCCCAAACTCAGGGGGCCCCCAGTCGCGGCATGTCACCCCAGCATGCTCGCTCTCGGCAGGGGTTAGCAGATAGCAGTGAGTGAGGGCCAGCCATGCAGGGACACACACGGGCACCACTCACAACAAGGGTTGTCACACAGCCGCAGGCAGCAGAGCGGGCGCCCCAGGAGGGCACAGGGCCCCAAGCCCACTCATTTGGGGAGCACAGTCGGGGGCAGGCAGTGGGTAAGCAGCCAGCAGGTGACAGAGAAACAGGTACAACACCACGATAAGCAACAAGGGCCCAGAGTCCACAGTCCGATTCCCAAGCTGAGCCCCGGAAGGTGGCCGGCTGGGAGGGGATACCCGGAAGAGAGCTGTGAGCCCAGCCACGTGAAGCGACAGCGTGAGTCCTGCTCAGGTGGGGCAGGAAGTGGCCAGGCTGGTCAGGCCGCTTCCTGGCGCTGCTTCTGGAACTTTCCAGAAGGGTCCGTGCAAGTGACAGGAAGAAGCCTGCACAGCTGCTGGCTGGAGAGCCTTCCTCAGCCGCTGCGTCTCAGGCAGCAGGAGGGAGAGGGACCAGGCCCCGGGCCTCCCAACAGCCACATCTCCAAGAGGTGTTGGAGGAGCGTTCTAGGTCCAGGGCCACACCGGGGTCGTGCGAGGCTAGGTGGTAGAGGGGCGCAAACATTCAAACATTAGCAGAAGCTACCACAGCTGAAGGGCAGGCTTGTGACAGCAGCAACAAACTTGGGGAGAAGCCATGTGGCACGGTCAGCTAAGCTACATCCCACATGGGCGCCCGTTCGCATCCCGGCTGTTCCACTTCCCCATCCAGCTCCCTAATCATGTGGCTGGAAAAGCTGTGAAGAATGGCCCCAGCGCTGGGGGACCTGCATCCACGCGGGAGACCCGGATGGACCTCGTGGCCCTGGATGTTCTTATCCTGTCACACCCTAAGTTTCCCACTCAAATGAATCCTTAACAAAAAAACAGCCGCTCTAACTTGGAAGTCTGCCGATGCAGTGGGAAAAGATCGTTTCATCTGGAAGTTGTGTAGTCCCCATGGGAGGGGCCACATCCCAGGCCCCCCCCAAGGGATGCCAGGAGCCACAGAGGGACCTCAGCCCCCCCAAGGGATGCCAGGAGCCACAGAGGGACCTCAGCCCACCCAGGGGATGCCAGGAGCCACAGAGGGGTCTCGGGTCCCCCCCAAGGGATGCCAGGAGCCACAGAGGGACCTCAGCATCCCCAAGGGATGCCAGGAGCCACAGAGGGACCTCAGCCCACCCAGGGGATGCCAGGAGCCACAGAGGGGCCTCAGCGCCCCCCAAGGGATGCCAGGAGCCACAGAGGGACCTCAGCCCACCCAGGGGATGCCAGGAGCCACAGAGGGTCTCGGGCCCCACCCCACCCCTCCACACACAACCCTTCCTCCAACCACCAGGCTACGCCCCAGTTTGACTGGCACTATAAGGACAGTAAGAGGTTAACACAACTGATGCATAAACTAGGACAAGATGAATGTCACCAACGTGAGGCTTCTTGTTCCTAAAATCTTCCACTTCCTGTTGTCAGGCCAGGTTCCCTTAAGGTGGCCGGGACCACAAGGGGGGTTCTGACCCCACATCCGACTGAGCTAGTCCTCCGTCCAGTCACCCCTTCTTTGTTGTGTTGCTCCACACACCCTTTCAGACACCCCAGACGTAGAAGGATATGCATGAGAACCACTCAAACAAAGCAGCCAACACTCCAGCCGATGAGGCCGTCACGGAGTTGCCCAGAGCGAACCACACGCTACACTCGCCTCACAGAGTGGAGGACAAAGGAGGAGACAACTGCCCACAGCCACGTCATGGCTACTGCCCACGGCCAGGGTGACGGAAGCCAGGGTAGGAAGCAGAAGGCGGCCAGGCTCCAGACAATGACGGGGACTTGGTGGCAAGCACATAGTGCAAAGGCTAAATCCAAGGTGACCGCTTGACGGGGGCGCCGACTGGACGCACTGGGGCCCCAGAGGCACGTGAGCAGACTGGAGCAAGAGGGGACGGCCCCGATGCTTCTCCTCCACGGCCCAGCACACGTCATCACGGACAGGAGTGAGATGAGGCGCAATGGGACCGGCATGTTACCCCTCCCTGGGCTGGCCAACACTGGAAGCTTCCTGCCCTAAGCTGCGTGTTTGTGGACACTGTGAACCAGCAGAGCCGGGAACAGCGCACCCGGGGACTTGTTCTAGCACATTCCTGAGCAGAGCGGTCTTCACAGGGCAGCCGGATCACCAGCCCCAGGCTGGGCGGGAATGTGGGGCTCTGGCTGGCACCTGACCGTAGAGAGGACCATGCCCAGTCAGGGACAAGATGCCCCTCCATCCAGCTGCCTCCACTGTCCCGGGAGAGGCCCGTGCGAGCACAGCCCAACCCAGCCCAGCAGTGAGGGGCGGTGGCAGTGGCAGGGACCCCTGCTTAGGCAGCCTCGAGGCAAGGCCGTGCCGTGTGTGGGGAGACCACAGCTCAGCTGCCGGAGCCGTGAAAGCGGCAGGGACTCCTGGGAGCAGGAGGCAGCACTGGGCCCAGCAATCCCTCCCCAGGCCACAGCAGGCCTGGACTTCAACTGCCTCCTCTCAGCCTGATGACCTCCACTCCACCAGCCTGACGCACCCAACCGGCTTCAGCTGGGGTTATGTGGGGAGTGTGAATGCAAGGTGTGGGCCGGGCTGGGAAGGCCACCCCACACCCTGCAGTTTCCAGAGCCCCAAAGGAGATGCTGTGGCTGCGTCCTCTAGGAGCTGGGCCCCGGCTGCCCGCGGTCAGCTACCAGCATCTCATAAGTAGAGAAGCTTGGCGGGGGGACTAGGGAAGATTCCAGAAAGCCCAGGATATTACACTCAGTGTGGTCCAATGGTGCCACAAATGACAGCCATTGTTACTTTCTGGGTAGCCAAAGAAGGAAGGGGAAAAAAAAAAAAAAGCCGCCATTTGGCTGCTGGTCCTGGGCGCAGCCAGGCCTACTCAAAGCCCCATTCCAGGCCGAGCCAGCGCCTGCATTCCTGCCCATTAACCCGTGGGAGAACACCACCACCCCCTCTGTCCCACACCCAGCCTCAAGGTCACTGTTCCTTAAACAAGGAGCAAGCAAGTCTCCAGAACATTCCGTGCAAACAGCCTGTTGTTTGTGCCCTCTGGGCATTGTGCTACTGTGAGCGAGCTCCATCGTCTCCTGCCTCCCACCGCAAGGCCCACAGCCCTGGGCGGGACACAGCCAGCCACACACAGAGCACATCCAGCTGCCGCCGGGCTGGGTAGTGGTGCGGGGCGCACCTGGGACCAGGAATCCTCCCCAAAGCACAGGAGCTGTGCTGGGAGAAGATGGCGCTGGGGGCTGTGGGGATTCCAAAATCCCAGCTCCCCTCAGTGGCAGGCTGTGCCTCGGGGCTGGAGGGGTGTCAGGTCTCCCCACACCCGCCCGTGACAAACGTCTTCCAGCTTGCTGTTGCACGCTCAGAACCGAGCCCAACCACTTACGCACAAGGGGCTAAGTATGTGTCTGACCCACTGTGCGCAACAACAGCTAACTGCATGTGTGTGCCCGACACACCTGCCCACAGCCCCCAGGGGTGGGCACTGAGCCAGTTAGGACCCCAGTGGCCCACATGGCCACAGCGCCTGGGTTCCACTCCTTGCTCCATTCATCCCAGCTTTCTGCTTATATCAGCCCAGCCCAGGAGGCCTGGACGGAGTTCCTGGCTCAGGCCTGGTCGTCCCAGCCCCTGTGGGCATCTGGGGGTTCCATGGCAGGCTCGCGGGTTTGCTACTATTTGCTAGTTTTATCCAAAACCAGATCAGAACCAAGTATTGATTCTAGCTAACCATAGGGGGAAGTGCTCAACCATTGAGGGGTACACTCGTCCTGCAACACGTGCCCCCCAAAAGATATGCAACAAGAGAGAAGGGGTCATCAGGAGGCAAGCAGGGCCCGCCAGCAAGGAGACAGTCAAAATGACAGTCACCTGCCAGACGAGTCCCGGGCTCCGGGCACATTCCCAAGTGCCGGAAACGTGAACACCGCTCAGCGTGTGGCCCCAGGGGGTGGAGGGGGCGGGCGGGCGGGCGGGCAATGCGGAACTCCATGGAAAGCAGGACCCTGGGCGGCGAGAACCGGTCTTGGTGACACAAAGACACGCCACAGGAGGGGGGGGGGGCGCCACTGGGCCGGCCAGCGCCGGCCCACTTTGACCCTACCGCCTGCGCACAGCCTGGCGCAGACGCACAGCACGGCAGGCTGCTGGCTGCTTGATCCAGGCCCCTGCAGGGCGGGAAAACGTGAATGGTTCAAGCCGGCCGGCTAGGAGGCCGCTCTGGGGTTCCCGGGCCTCAAGGAAACGTGCAACTGTGGCTGGTGGATGCTGTGGCGGCCAAGCAAGCGAGCACACAGGAACCTTGTGGGTGCCCAGCGCGCCAGCTCACACCACACACACATACGGCACATTTCCCAGCGAGACAGCAGATGGCAGCAGCAAACGGTTCCAAACTCCACAACGAAGTCATCCGGTGCACGCTGCCCAAGAGCGGGACCGACCAAGCCATGCACGCTGCCCAAGGGACGCCAGGTCCTTCGGGGGACCCCCACACCTGCCTTGTCCGTTCAACCCCACACAAACAGCACGGCCCTCGCCAAGAGGGTCAGTGCACCCCACTCCTGCAAAGATGTGCAGGCAGCTGAGTGGACAAACAGACATTTTCAACACTCCCTAGGTGGGGTGGGCTGAGGCAGGACCACCCCAAGGGGTGCTGGTGGGCGAACCAGTAACTCCATTAGGGCGCTCACAGACTCAAACCCTCTCCCCTCCATTTCCCAGCACAGACACTCCTCAACAACGACAGGGTCTGGCGTCCAAGGGGGTCCCTCTACTGTTGGGAGAGACAGTGGGGCGGAAAGAGGAGGGGAGGTGTCCCAGACAACCCAGCCCATTCCCGGGCCCGGGGGTGTCACTCTGCCAGTTTGCCCTGCCCTTTGTTCTCGCAGGCATGGTGGGGGTGGTAGGTGGTGTCTGTAAGATCTCTACTTTGCAGAGCCAGGGCCGGACGAGGGGTTGTGGTGGGGCGGGGAGCCTGGACCCAAGCAAGAACAAAGGTGGCGGGGCGGGGCGGAGCAGGCCGGACGGACGGGCGGGCGGGCAGCCTGCCTGGTCGGACGCCTACCTGCTTGCCCCGGTAGAAGAGCCGCTGCAGGCTGGGCTCCACGTGAAACAGCTCCTGGACCCTGCGTCTCAGTTCTTCCACCTTGGTCAGCCTGGACAGCGAGTCCACCGTGAAGCTCTCCTTGCCGTCCATCATACGCACCTGTACCCACATGGTGCCGGTGCTGGTGCAGCTGCAAAGCAGGCGGGGCGGGAAAAGGAGAGGAGAGAGAGAGAGAGAGGGCGCAGGCCCCTGCAGGTCAGTATCCGGTGGCCACCATATGCTCTGGGGGTGCTGAGGGAGGGAGGGAGGGGGGTGTGAGCCCTGGCAGGCTCCTGCGGAGCGGGAAAGGCCACACCTAGGAACGCGCCAACCGACCCCAAGCAGCACCAGGTCCGATCAATGAGCGAGTTGATGGCTCAATGACCAGCAAGTGTGGACGACTGATTGAAGGCATGCCAGAGAGAGAGAGAGAGAGAGGGGGCGGGAAAAAGGGTGGTCTCAGCCCACCCCATCCAGGGCCCCGTTCTTGGTAAAGGAGAACACCTCAACCAATGGGCTTCGTTCCTTCCTGCCTGCCTGCCTTCACTCATTCATTCACTCATTCATTCATTCATTCTGGAATCCCATACATACCCAAGTGCTCCGGGCGCGCCAGCCGGAACTTCCACAAGAAGTGCCTCGTGGGACTCTCTCTCTCACACACACACACACGAGCCCCCCACCGCACCCCACCTTCGCGAACCCCGTCACCCCGCCAACCCCATTCCCACCCCACCCGGGCGCGTGCGCGACGCGGGCTGACCCCCGTGGCGGTGGTCATGGCAACTGCCCACTCACCTCGACCCCCCACCCCCGGCAGGACCCCTGGCCCTAAAATGTCCTCTCTGGCCGCCGCCGACGAGCTTTCCTGCACGCTCACCGGTCCCGCGAGGGTCGCAGCAGCCCCCCACGCCCACACGCCCCCGGCCTCGGCCCGCGCCGCCGCCGCCGCCGCCGGGACGGATCAAGGGGGCCCCTCTCTCTCTCGCTCTCTCGCTCGCCCAGTCCCGCCCCCCTCTCCCTCCAGCCGCCTTTCTTATTGGCTACGCCGGGCTTAACCGCCCCGCCCCGCTCACTCCTCATTGGCTGCGAGATGCCCGGGGAACTCAGGGCGCGCGAAATCAGGCTCGGGCGCGACAATTGAATCGCGGGGCTCCCCGCGCGCAGGCGCGGAGCCTGACATCCTCCTCTCCCCCCCCCACGCGGCCTCGCCGGGCCCTCCCCCCACCCACCCACTCACCCACCCACTCACCCACCCAGCCTCTCCATGTGGCGACCCCCGTCGCGCCCACCCACCCACCCACCCAGGAACTCGGCGCGCCCCGACACCCCACAATTCCCCCCCACGCTCGGCCCGGGGCGACTTTTAGAGGAGGACCGGCCGGGCAGCGAGGCAAAAGCTTCTAGAACTCCCTGAGGCGAGGGGGGCGGCCAAGTCCCTCTGTCAGAGTGGGCGCCCGCCGGGGTGCAGGGGGTGAAGACCCCCCGCTTCTCCTCCGTCCTCGGTGGCTGGCTCACCTTCCCGGCCCTCCGCGATGCTCCCGGGGGACCCCGGCTTGCAAGTGGCGAACCCCACCAAGCGAACGAGAGTGTCCACTCGGCCGCCGGCGGCTCCTCCGTCCGCGCGTGTGTGTGTGTGTGCGCGTGGCCAGACGCTCCGATTTTTTTTTTTTCCCGCGAAAAAAGTCTGGGGAGTGGCAGGGCGGCGCGAGAGAGAGATCCGTGATGGGGGCGGACGCCTGTCTCCTGATTGGCCACGGACAGTGGCGGGAAACGGGACAGGGGGTGGGGGCGTCCCCGTCCTCCGCCTCTGTCCACTTCCCCCCTGCACACACACACACACACACACACACACACACAGCCCGCCTCTCTCGGCATGCACGGGTAGCTCTGTGGGGTCCCGATCGCGGGCTCCCCATTCCACACGTGCCTTAGGGGGGTTTCCTCTGCTCCCCACAAGGTCAAGACCTTGCCTGCTTTCTCTGGAGAACGGACCCCCCCCCTCACATGCACACCCTCCCACCTTCTCCTCCCACGTCCATGCAATAACCAAATAGCGCTGAGAAGGCCTTACCCACGTGGGGAGAACATCAGGGGTCCCCCCAGGAGGCTGATTGCACCCCCATGAACCGCCCCCCTCCCAGGCGAAGCCCCTCACCTGGGGGCCTCCCCACCCCCCACTCCGCAAGGGCTCGCTGGCCCCGATTTCCCGCCATGTCCGGCTGTCCAGCCCTGCCCCCTTCACCCTGCCTGCCTGCTTCACTCAGGGCCAGTGTTGTGGGTTCGCAGGGGACACACACACATACACACACACACACACCAAGTCAGTGGATGGGATGCTTACTGATGAGATGGGTGGGACGACAGCTGGCAAGCCTGGCGTTGGTGGTCTCTGGTTGTTCAAGGGGGGTGGGATGGCGCGGGGCGGGGAGGCGAGCAGGTTGGATTGAGGTCTGGGGAGATGAGACAGGAAGAAAGCAAGCGAGCGGGTGCAGCCCGCAGAAGGAGGCGGAGGCGGAGGCGGTGGGCCTCCACCAGCTGAGGTGTGTAGTCCAAGGCGAAGCAGGAGGGCAGGCGGAGGAGGGCAGGGCGTGCTTGGAGGGCGCCGGAAAAGCCTGGACTGTCGGAGAAGCCGGAAGGCCGCCAGGGAGCAGCCTGTGGGGGGAGGGGAGGCGAGGCCAGCAGGGTGACCACCAGGCCGGTGCTGTGTCCTGCCAGGCAGAGGGGGACAGCTGTGTCTCGCCCATCTTTTTTTTTTTTTTCTTAAAGCATCCTGGGCCAAATCCCCCCACCCCCCAGTTGAATGTCTTGGAGTTTTCATTTGAGGGGGTTGGCGCCGTGCTTCTGCAGCTTTTCATGTGGTAAAACAGAGGCGCGATCCCCAAAGATGGCCTCCGCGTTCTCATTTCCAAGAATGGGGGCCGGGGCACCACGTACGCTGCAAGATTTTGAGAGAGGGAGTTCAGTACTGCCCCAGGAGTCATCTAGAAGGTTCTGTGGTGAGGGGGAGGGAGGCAGCAAGGCTAGAAAGGGGGAGAGGCAAGGAATGCTGGTGCCGTGTCCCCACACACCCCCCCTACCCGCCCCTGTCCGGAAGAGGCAGGAAGCTACCCCCTGTGGAGAAGCATATACTTTGGCCAGCACCTCGATTTTGGCCCCGTGACCCCCGCCAAGGTGATCCCAGCGTGTTGTCATCCACCATTTTGTCCCAGCAAGGAGTAGATCCACTGCGAGTCCACCCAAGTGGCTGGACCCGCTGATGGTGGTGCCACGCACGTGTGCGTGTCCCCGGGTCTGCAGACTGCTGAAGGTGTACTTTCTGGAGATTTCAGAACTAACCACTGGGTACCAAGAACCCCAACGTCCCTTTGGGGGAAAAAAACAAAGAGAGAAAGACAAGTTTTTGGAGCTCAGAAGATCGTCCAGCAAATGTTTTATTAATCAGAACTCCCCAACATGAGCCAGACAGTCCCTGGGTCGGGCAGCCAAAGGAGGACGCCAAGACACAATCTCTCATTTTTCTCAGCCCACATAGGAGGCTCGGGCATAAAGAAGCAAGTTCAAACGTTCAGGCACGTGGTATTTGGCAGTGTTGGGGGGCAATTCCATCTGAGCACCTTCATGACCCAGCCCCTTTCTTCCACACGAGTGGGATAAGAATCGCCAATGTGAGGACGGTGGTCTCCATCTGTGGGATATAACAGCTGCGCTTGCCACATTTGGAGGCCATTGGGATAGGCAGAAAAAATAGACATGAGCTCAAGCACTTGGGGCCTCTTATCCCTCCCAGCCAGAGCCCTCCACCCACCACCCGAGCCCTCCACCCACCACCCGAGCCCTCCACCCACCACCCGAGCCCTCCACCCACCACCGAGCCCCTGCTCTCTCTGAGACAAGGAAGTCAGACTTTTGAGTCTGGGGTATAGGGGTTAAAATGCCATTCCAAGAACGGGTCCCCGGCGGTGATGGAAACCACCTCTGTCTATTGTGGGTGCCCCTTCCTGGAACTCTGGGCAGAGTGAGGTCACAGTCAAGGATTTGGAAATCTAGTGGCCTGGGTGGGGGGAGGGGGGAGGATGCGTCTCCCTCCTCCCCCCTGCCCCCCATGTCGGTGGTGAAGTCGATCGAACTTGTCTTGCCCAAGGATGAGGTCTACCTGGCCGGTTCCAGCGTGTCAGGACAGGTGATTTTAACCTTGAACAGCACCTTGGTGGACCCCGTGGTGAGAGTGGAGCTCGTGGGGAAGGGCTACGTCGAGTGGAATGAAGAAGTCGGGGAGACCCGTGATTACAGCAGAGATGTTCTTTGCAACAACAAAGCTGACTACGTGCATAAGACAAAGACGTTCCCCGTGGAGGGTAAGGACGCGGCGGCTGGCGGTCACCCGTCCCCGGACAGGGACCCTGGGTCTGGAAGGGAGACGCGCCTGGCACCTCGTCAGCCTGTGCGCGCACGCACACACACACACACACACACACACACACACACACACACAGGATCTCAGAAGACGACAGAAGCATCGCACATGGAACGATGACCATCAGCTACGCCAAACACGAAAATCACAAGACACAGGAGCCCACCAGAGTCCAGACATTTCACAGAAAAGGGCCCACACAGCGAGCGTGTGTCGTCACCCCTTCCGTCTAGCTACAAAACCCTGAGAAACCAGAAGATGGAGTTGTCTCCTTGGCCACGATGCCACCTAGCCCGGCGATGAGGGTCCAGGCTCTCCTATCTGGGACGTGGAACGCGACGCGGTCCCTCCCTCTCTTCCTTTCTCATCCTGGGGCTCCACGTGGGTGTGCTTACCTGGGTTCCACCATGGAACGCCACAGTAGATTTGATGTGCCCTCCTCGAGCCTCCTGCTGGGGACGACACGGCAGCCAGGAACCTCGGAGGACTAGGGCAGAACATGAACAGGGATGCCTCCTTGCAACAGACTCGCTCCCTCAGAAGCAGGACTCTTTGGGAAAGTTTCAACGGAAGCAGTTCTTTTACAAGATTGAAAGGCAGGGTAACACAAGGGTCATTCCATCCCCTGTCTCACTCCCCCAAAATAGCTACCACAGCCAGAGCTTGGCCAGCCTAAAGCCAGGAGCCAGGAGCTCCATCCAGGTCTCCTGTACGGATACAGGGGCCCAGACGGTTGGGTCGTCTTCCACTACTTTCCTAGGCCACAAGCAGGGAGCTGGATGGGAAATGGAGCAGATGGTACATGAACTAGCGCCCCTATGGGATCCCGGAGCTTACAGGGGGGAAGGTTAACTGATTGAGCCATCATGCTGAGCCCTGATACAATTTTTTCCCCCAAGACTTATTTGAAAGGCAGAATAACAGACAGAGAAAGGGTCTTCCATCCCCTGGTTTATTCCCCAAATACCCGTGGCAGGTTTAGCACGGCCTAGCCCTGGCCACTGTGGCCATCTGGGGAGTGAACCAACAGATGGAAGATCTCTTTCTCTGTAACTCTGCCTTCCACATTCATAAACAGATCTTTTTATATAATAATAATAATAATAATAATAATAATAATAAACCTGGCACAATGGCTCAGTGGCTAAATTTGTACCCTGCAAGCACCAGCATCCTACATGGGCATCGGTTCAAGTCCTGGCTGCTCCACTTCCCATCCAGCTCCCTGCTTGTGGCAGGAAAGAGCAGTCGAGGACGGCCCAGAACCTTGGGACCCTGCACCCGCGTGGGAGACCCAGAAAAAGCTCCTGGCTCCTGGCTTCGGATCGGCTCAACTCTGGCCATTGAGGCCACTTGAGGAGTGAATCAGCAGATGGAAGATCTTTCTCTTTGTGTCTCCTTCTCTCTGTAAATCTGCCTTCCCCATAAACATAAAGAAATCTTTCATAGTAATAGTGAGGAAGGGAGGAATGAAACGTTCTAGAATCTTCTGACGGCATCGGTGTGCTTTGCTTTCAGATAATTGGTTAAGTGCAGGCAGCCACATCTTTGACTTCCATTTCAACTTACCTCCCAGGCTCCCGTCCAGCTTCGTCAGCAAGCTCGGCCACATCTCATACTACATGCAGGCCTCCTGCATGGGCCGGGAACACATCCTGGCCAGAAGGAGGGTGTGCTTCATGGTTCAGGGGCTTTCTGACTTCCACAAGCAAAATCTGTTCCAGGTACATGCTGGGGAGGGGCGGAGGGAGGGGCCGGAGGGGGAGGCATCTTTCTAGAAATTCCACAGCCAACCCCTGGAAGGTCCACGGTGACGCTCGGGTGACTCTCCCAGGTCTGGGAGCACTCGGACAGTGGACACCATGTCCTCAAAGAAGTGACAGGAGGGAACCTCAGGGAGGCGGGGAGAGGGGACGGCACGGGGTGGTTCCTCTCCAAGGCGGAAAAAGTCAGGTACATGGCGGCACACAGTCCAGGGTCCTTCCCTCCTGACTGGAGTGTGTGGCTCTGTCTTTCAAACATATAAATAAATCTGCCATGAATAACTTCTGGAAAGCACAATGAATGAACAAAACAAAACAAGGCCAGCATTTTACACAGTGGAGGTACCTCAACAGGTGCTGTGGGCGACGGAGTGGGGGCATGATGGGCGAGGCTTAGCTGGGGCGGGCTGGCTTCCCTGAGATGCCCACCCTGGAGGGCAGCAAGTGAGGGTCCCAGTGCTTGGGTCCCTCCCACCCACAGGGGAGACGTGGACGGAGCTCCTGGCTCCTGGCTTTGGTCTGGGCCAGCCAGCCCCAGATCCTTGGACATTTGGGAAGTGAACCTATGTATATATTTGAGAGAGTTCTAGAGAGAGAGAGATGTTCCACCGGCTAGGTTATTCTCCAGACACTGACAATGCCCAGTTCTGGGCTAATCCAAAGCCAGGAGCTTCTTTCACATCTCCCATGTGGGTGCCGGAGCCCTTGGACTTGGGGTGTTTGGGTGCTGGGGTTGTGTGTGGTCGTGGCTCAACCCACTGCCCCACCACACCGGCCCCCAGTCTCATGTTGGGTCTCCTTTTCCAATCCAGCCAGCCTGTCACTGGAGACCCACCAGGGCATGACTGACCTTGAATTTCAACTTGCCCCTCAAGTGGGTACAATGACAACAATGTTTGGATGAAGGCGTCCCCCCCTCGGGCTCCCCATGCTGGAGTTCCGAGATGTTGAAAAAAAAATAGGATTCAGTATACCCCAAGCCCAGGAAATTTAGCATATCCCATGTCCCGCAAAGAGGGCAGTGGCCGTGGGGGTGGGGGGGCACTTTGTGGGGTCCCGTGGCCGGGAGTAGGGGCCTCTATGGGGCCTCCACAGCCACCTCATTCAGGACACAGTAGGGCCTCTGGCTTTCTCTGGAGTTAGCATAGTCAGCCCCTGGGATCCTAAGCAACGGCCTCGAATTTCCGAATTTTCGAATTTTCGAGACCTGAGGTCACTCAGCAGGAAACTACAGGACGCAGGGCGTGAAGTGTGGGAAAGCAGGTTGTGGCGTGGGGGAGGGGTGGCTGAGGTCCCAGAGAGAGAAAGGACAGGTGGCCCCAGGCTCTATTTTCAACCGTGACTCACACCCAATGAATGGGTCCCCAAAAGTCACTTTCTCTCTCTCTGTGTGGTTGTTCTCCATTGTATTTCAAACTCAGAGACTAACAAAGAAATCTTCCAGGGCCTTGGAGGGCCTGGCATGGCAGCCTAGTGGCTAAAGCCCTTGTCTTGCGTGTGCCAGGATCTCCTAGGGGTACCGGTTTGTATCCCGGCTACTCCACTTCCCATCCAGCTCCCTGCCTGTGGCCTGAGAAAGCAGTGGAGGACGGCCCAAAGCCTTGGGACTCCCTGTGTGGGTGCAGGGGCACAAGAACTTGGGCCACCACCTGCTGTCCCCCAGGGTGCATTGGCAGGGAGCTGGGATGGAGCACAGAGGCCCTGTGGACTTGAATCCGCGTGGTCCGAAACAGGATGTGTGTGCCTCAGCCACCAAGCAGTGAGACCCCTGCCTACAAAACCCCTCCCTCGAGTTGCAGGGGGCTATTTGAACATAGGAAGGGGGAATTGGCAAGACTAGATGTGCACACGTTCAGAATAGAGAAGTTGGTGGGTTCCACCAGGTTCTTTTTTTTTTTTTAAGATTTATTTTTATTGGGCCCTATGTGGTAGTCTAGTGGCTAATGTCCTCGCCTTGCATGCACTGGGATCCCTTGGGATTAGAACTGAGCTGAGCTGATCTGAAGCCAGGATCCTGGAGCTTCTTCCAGGACTCCCACGCAGGTGCAGGGTCCCAAGGCTTTGGGCCATCCTCCACTGCTTTCCCAGGCCACAGCAGGGAGCCGGATGGGAAACGGGGCTGCCTGGATACAAACTGGTACCCATCTGGGATGCTTGCAGGTGGAGGATTAGCCAATTGAGCCATAGCACCAGGCACTCCATGCATTTTTTTTTTTTTAACACAAAAGGACAGAGGATAAGATACGCAGAGCGAGCTGCTGCCAGAGAAGAAACAGGTGTGTGGCAATCAGCTGTCTCAATAGGAAAGAAGAGTGTGTGTGACATCATAGCAGCGGCCCATAACCCACTTCCCGCCTCGGGCATCAGCGAGTGGAGTAGTGGGCAGTGGGTTAAGGCATTACTTACAAAGCTGGTGTCCAGGATCACTGCGCTAGTCCTGGCTTCCTGTTCCGCTTCCCATCTGGCTTCCTGCTAAGGCACCTGGGAGGCAGCAAAGAGGGTTCTAGTCTTTGGGCCCCTGATGCCCACCACAGGAGACCCGGATGTAGCTCCTGGCTTCAGCCTGGCCCAGCCCTGGCTCTTGTGGTCATTTGGGTACCTCTGGATAGAAATTCTGCCCTCTCCTCTCTCTGTTTCACATGCTCTGACTTTCCAAGAAATGAATCCAAATCAGCTTAATCATTTATTTGAAAGGCATAGTGGTCGAAGAGGAAAGACAGATCTTCCAGTCAATGGTTCACTTCCCAGTCAGTGACAAAGGACCAGGGCTAGGTCAGACCCAAGCCGGGAGCTAGAAGCTTCATCCAGGTCTCCCATATGGGTGCAGGAACCCCAACACTCGTGCCACCAGCTGTTGCCTTCCCAGCATGCTGGCAGGAAGTGGGATGGCAAGCTGAGTGCTGGGGACTTGAACCGGGCACTGCAGTATGGGATGCTGCCATCAGAGGCAGATGTTTAACTCGCTGTGTATCCCCCCCCACACCTGCCCATCTTCCAGAACCCGCTGTTGGTGGAGGTAGAGAAACGCGTGCCCTACAACTGCTGCCACCAGGGTACCATCTGCCTGCGTGTACACCTGGACAAGAACATCTTCACACCGGGGGAGAAGGTGGTATTCACCACCGAGATCAACAATCAGACCAGCAAATGTATTAAGACGGTGGTCTTCGCGCTCTATGTCCGAGCCTGTTACCAGGGCTTCACACCCAACGCCGAGCGGCGGCAGCGACTGGACAGCAGCGAGTTGCTGCGACAGGAGGCCAACACCCACATCGTCCCCTTCGACACCACCAAGATCGTCAGTACCTTCCACCTGCCGCCCGTGCTGTCGGTGAGCGGTGGCGGCAGCAATGGCGCCCTGCATGAGGACCTCCTCCAGACACACTACGAACTGGTCATCACCATGCACCTTCCCTGGTCGCTTAGCAACATCAAGGCCCAGGTCCCCATCATCATTGTCCGGACGCCGCCGGCCGACGAGGCCACCTGCCACGAGCCGGAGGGGGACAGGCTGTCCGCCGACCCCAGCTGCCAGAATTAAGTGTCCAAATGTCTAAATAGTAAAAATTCTATCGCACTCTATGCTTGCCCCCTTGGCCCCCAGAAACCCTGTGTTGTGCCTTGAGGATGCTGTGGCTTGGGCCCTTAGGTGCCTTGGGACCCCTGCATGTCCCATTTTTTTCCCCTTTATTTGCAAGGCAGAGTTACAGAGAGAGGAAGAGAAACACAGAGACAGAGAAATCTTCCGTCCACTGGTTCGCTCCCCCCAAATGAGACCCGGGGAACTGCCGGGTTTCAGGTGGAAACACAAACCTCTGTAACCTTAACCTCGCCCACTTCCAGAACATTCTCCTCTCCCCAGACTGAAGCTCTGTCCCCAGGAAACACAACCCCAAACCCTCTTACCCAGGCCCGGGAGGCACCCTGTGTCATAGAACCCCAGGGGCTTCCCAGGCAGGGGTCCCTGCAGCCAGTGGTCCCTGCAATTTCTGCTTGATCCGTCAGAGAGTTTTATCCTAAGAGAGAAACCCTGAAGAAACTGCATCCAACAGAACTGATTGAGGACAATTCGAAGCAAACAGAACAAAGCAACACGCGCACACACACACACACACACACACACACACACACACGCTGTGTGGATCTGGTCACACTCCCAAATGCATAGCAAGTTCTAAGAACTCCAAAAACGGTTTTTAAGAAAAAAAAAAAAAAAAAAAAAAACAGAAGTGCCAGACACCTGGGGTTGTCCAAATCAGCTCCAGGGACAGCCCAGCCCCTTACAGGGAGCCCAGGGGTTCCACATTCCGACCACATCCTCAATTCCAGCTCCCTGCCAGATGGCTGGCCAAGGTATCTGCTTGTCCTCCGGTCCTCCACGCCCGGGAGCCGTGGCCTTGGTGTATGACCGTCACTTAGCTCTGAACACGAGTGAGTGCGAGCTCCCCCAGGGATGCCACGTGGACGTTCGTTTCTTTTTTATTGGGTGATTTTACTTGCACAGAGGAGAAAGACAGAGGCCATGAGAGAGCTCCCGTCCACTGGTTCACTCCCTAAATGCCCACAGAACCAGGGCTGAAAAACAAGAGCTTCTTGGGACCTAAGCACGTGGGCCATCTTCCGACGCCTTCCCCAGGCGCACGAGCAAGGAGCGGAACGCAGAGAGGAGGCACCCTGACACCACCGTCAACGGCTTAACCCGCGACACCACAAGGCCCACTCCGAGTCTCTTTGAAAATATAGGACATTCACAGCCAGTGTTGTGGGTGAATCAGCCAGCTGCAATGGTGGCATCCCATGGGATCCACGGGGCGTCCTGGCCACACACATGGGGGTCCAGGATGGAACTCCTGGCTCCTGGCTTCCGCCTGGTTCAGCCACTGGCTGGCTGGTGTGGCCATTTGGGGGGTGAATTCTCTCTCTCTCTCTCTCTCTCTCTCTCTCTCTCTCTCTCTTTCTCATCGCTTGCTCTGCCTTCCAAGTTAATGAAGTCCACACACCGCATAGAATCAGCCCTGGGGTCTGGCATGTCATTTGCTGTCCGGGTTGCCCCATCACCCACAGCGCCCCCTCCTGCAGAGGCTGGAATTACACAAGACTGCGAAAAGGGGGCCTCACCTTGGTTGTCCCCCAGCCCCTCTCCTGCTCTAAGTTTCTAGAAGATTCTTTCAGGCGCTGCAGCAGCCCCCTACAGGGGGCTCCTCCCCACCCCACCCCCATCTCTGGCTGCTCCTTTGTAGGCCTTAAGATTCCATAGCCTCCACAGGCGTGCGGGCAGGCGGGCGGGCGTTGGGGACACTTCCTGTGCGGTGGCGAGGGGACCAGGTGCATCAATAGGAGAAAACAGCTGGGGTTGCTCTATTTCCTGCCCCCGGTGGAGAGGCCTCACCACCTCCCTGGTCCTCCACCCCCAAAATAAACCCACTTCAGCCACCCAGGGCAGCTGCCGCCACAGGGGTGAAGTTGGGGGTGGGAGGAGGCGGCAGCTGCCAGCCAGCGTGCAGTGCCGCGCACACACTCCCCTGGGCATGTCCTCCTAGCATTCCAGGGCCATGGGGGTGGGGGTGACCCGGCCCACTCCCCCACTCCCTCCCATGTTCAGAAAGCAGGAACTGGGGGCGGCTCATGGCCCCCCCACCACCACTACAGCCAAGCATCTTGTTGTGGCGAGGGAACCCCCAGGCAAGTCCAGAGCCTGACTGTTAGGACAACAGCCCCCCCCACCCCACCTCCGTTCCGGAACAAAAAGGCAGCCAGAGAGAGCCAGGGACGGGCCGTTCTCTGGCCACCAGCGTGACTGGCACACCCTGGCAGCTTGGCATGGGCCCGGCCGGCCCAGTCACCCTGGATGAGGCTCCTGCTGGGGGCGGGCTGTGTGGAGTGGCAGTGGCTTGGCACTTAAAGAACCAGGTGGGAATGGCTTCCTGCTCAGCCGAGCATTGGCCAGGAAGCTTCCCCACCTCGTAACTGTCCCACCAGCACATGCTCCCCGGCTGCATCCCCCCATAGGTCCACGTGGCAGACCCAAGAGACCATCTGTCTCAGGATTTGTGGGGGGACCCCAGTGCAGGGATGGATAAAGAAGGAAAGGGAACGTGCAAGCCCAGTATTGGGGTAGATAGTACTGGGCATTTAGGAAGCTAGGGTGATGCGGGGGGGGGGGACACCCCAGGACGGGACAGTCCGGTGGGAGGGGAGAATGGCGGCCCCTCTGAAGGGACTCCCCTCCCCCTACCACGGCCTGGCAGGGGGCAACGGGCAGGTGGCGCCATGAAGGCGGGCCAGCCGGGGCCTGCATCTGAAAGTCCCTCGGCTTCCCGCAGCGAGTCTTAAACAGATCTGGGAGCCGGGCTGAGGCCCCGTGGTGGCCAAGCAACGGCTGTCCGCTGCCTACAGCACGGGACCCGCTGGCAAGACTTCAGCTCCACAACATGTCGGCCTCGGGCTAAAACTCACTCCCTGAGTAGCTGAACTGCATGTTCTGCACGCTGCTTTCAAACTTTTTTTTTTTAAACTATATTGACTCATGTGGAGGCACAACAACAACAGAGAGAGAGACAACTTCTATCCGCTGGTTCCCTGTCCAAATGCCCACAACAGCCAGGGCTGGGCGAGAGCGGGGCCAGGGGCCAGGAGCTCCCTCTGGGCCTCCCACGTGGCTTAGCAGAGACCCAAAGACTTGAGCTGTGCCCTGCTGTTCCCCAGGGCATGAGCAGGGAGCTGGACAGGAAGTGGAGCAGCCGGGATTCAAACCCATGCCCTCAGGGAAGTGCCAGGGGCCATCTTCATGGCATCTTCATGGCATCTTAGCCGTGAAGCCAGGCGTTTCCCTCACCCCCAAGGGTTTTCTTTTCAATTTCTCTTCAGACCAGGGAAGAAAACAGCGTGGTAATAGCACCCACGCAGCATGACGCCAATTTAGCTTTTGCACTCAATATGCAATACCAAACAAACAAACAAAAAACCCCCAAGTCTTGTAAAGAAAAAGTGGCTTGTCCCCCCCCAAACTTTAATGCAAATTGCACCACAACCAGGACTACTACCAAAGTCAGGGTCACCACTGGGTCCCTGAGGCTGCCCAGCATGGGCCTGGTACACGACCAGGGCTTAATGATTGTTCACTGGGCTCGGCACAGTAGCCTAGTGGCCAAAGTCCTCGCCTTACATGCACCAGAATCCCATACGGGCACCGGTTCTAATCCTAGCTGCTTCACTTCCCATCCAGCTCCCTGCTTGTGAGCTGGGAAAGCAGCAGAGGACGGCTCAAAGCCTCGGGACCCTGCATCTGTGTGGGAGACCCGGAAGAAGCTCCTGGCTCCTGGTTTTGGATCAGCACAGCTCCGGCTGTTGCGGTTACTTGGGGAGCAAACCAGAGGATGGAAGATTTTTCCTCTCTGTCTTTTCTTCTCTCTGTAAACCTTCCTTTCCAATAGAAACAATCTAAAATAATCATAATAATGATTGCTCCCTGGATGGCCACACATCCCTCCAGGTAGCAGAGGGCTGGGATGGCCCACCACAGGACACTGGGGTCAGGCTGGGACCCACCTGGGAGCGGGCAGCGCCACCTTGTGGCATGGCCACCACTCTCCTTGCCTTCCTCTGCCCTGGCTGGAAGAGGGGTGAGAGACCTTGGGGAGGGGGTGTCAGGTGGGGAGGAAGAATAGGAGGAGGAGGAGGAGGTGGTGGTGGTGGGAACAAAAACATGGGGAAGATGGCACATCTCCGCCTTCTGGCTGGTACTCGGGCTGTGTGAGGCAGAGCAAGTTCCTCTACCTCTCTGGGCAGGCACCTGCAGAGCTGGCAAGCCCCCCCGGGTCAGGGTCCCTTGGGACTGGAGGTGGTGGGGGCATGGACTTCGCCTAGAGAGTGGGCCAGCCAGTCAGCTTCTGTCCCTGCCTCGGCCCACCCGGCACTCCCCCCATCCACTCCTGGCCCCTTTCCCGTCAGCTGAGGTCTGACTCGGCTTCCTGAACCATCAGGACTTTGGCAAATCACCCCACGCGTGACTTAGAGAGAGGCACTTGGGCCGTGCGGGCAACCGGGCCTGTCTCCCACCAACCTGTGAGCTGTGTGACCTTAGGTAAGTCTTTGAGCCAGCCAGCCCTGCCCCAACTTCCTCCTCTGGCACACCGGGCTTGGTCCTGCCCCAGGACCTTTGCATGGGCCATGCCGCACACACCCCCCCAACACACACCCCTGCCCAGCACGGGGGCGCTCAGGGAGCGTGACAGAGTGACAAGCTGGGAAAGGGGGCAGGCGCCTGTGGCCACTTGGGACACCCATGCCTGAATGCCAGAATTCAAGTCCAATCTGGCCTTTCCACCACGGCCACCCTGGGCGGCATTCCTGCCACCTACATGGGGAACCCGGATAGAGCTCCTGGCTCCTGGCTGTGACCAGCATGTGTGGGGGGGGTAAACTAGGAGTTGCTAATTTCTATTTGCTGTTAGTTATTATTATTTTTTTATTACAAAAACCTAAGTGGGAGGAGCTTCCGCTAGGGGGTGGATCCAAGGGTTTGGCTGTCACCGTGAAATGGGGGGCACTACACAGCTTTTGGGTGTCGGGACCCGCCCCTTCCCCCAAAACGCAGATAGTCATGAGGGGTTGCATCTGTGTTGCCCGTTGGGGTCCACGTCGCTTACCTCGGGGTAGGAGTGCGTGTGGGGTGTGCAGGCGGTGGCTGTGAAGCCTTGGTGCCCTCCGGCTGGGGTCTTTCTGGTTCAATGTGGAGAAGTGGGAGGAGAGACTAGGGGAGCCCCAGAACCCAGGTGGGAAGGGCGCGCCCCCAGCCTTCCCCTCCCTGTGCGTCCGCGCGTAATGGACACCACTTGGAGGGGGCGAACTCGCGCGGGACCCACGTGCGAGGGGCGGAGCCTGGCACGGGGAGGAGGAGGAGGAGGAGGAAGAGGAGGAAGAAGCAGAGTCCTCTCCGTGTGATTGGGCCCCCCGCCCCGTCACTCCCGGGCGCCACACCTCCCGCAGAATCAAAGCGCGCCCGGACGCCCCGCCCTGGCCCAGCACAAGTTGGAGGCTCCTGGCCGCCTGGACGTGCCCGCTGGCCGCGGTGAGAAGTGGGGTGGGGGGACCCCGAGATCGCTGGGGGAGGGAGGCGTGCCTGCCGAGGCTCAGGCGGTCAGGGGAAGGAGGAGGTGGGGGACCCTGCTGGGCTGCACCCCAGCTGAGCAACCCCCTACACCACGCACACACACACACACACACCAACTCCAAGGAAATCCAACCCGTGTTTTACAAGCTCGGGCTTGAAACCCATTCCCCTGCAGGCCTTCCGAGGGGCCCCAGGAGCTCCTTAGCAACCAGGGGGTGGGCCTGACCTCCAAGCCCCCACCCCCACACCAGCATGGGGCTCTTTGTACAAAGCCAGTTCTCAACCAAGTTCCCTGCAGCCCCTGGCTCCCCTCCCTCCCACTCCCCGACCCCTCCTGGTGCGTCCGGGCGCCTTGCCTTGGAAGGTGTGGCCACTGTGGGGTTGTAAAAGGCTGGGAGGGTGGAGCCTTGGGCCCCGGGGCTGAGCAGGGGGGGACACCCCAGCTCCAGCACGGTGGGTTACTCCGCAGGACCTTGGTGGGGGCAGACGAGTAGCGCCCCTTCCCCTGGCTGGCTTTGCTGCTCGGGCAGTGTCTGCTTGGGTAAGGGGGTCCTCCCCTGTCCCCCCAGGGGCTGCTGGACACCAGCTAACAGGCAGGACTGGAAGGTTGTCATTAAGGCTGCCCCAGGAGGGAAAATGGAAGGAAGGAGGAAGCTGTCCCCACCCCCCACCCCCGCCCCCAGGAAGAGGCCCCGTTGTCCCTGCTGGCTGGACTTTTGTCACCAGCAGGGAACTCGCCTGATACTGCCCGCCTCTGCCTCGCTCCCCCTTGGGAGCAGGGGGTGTCTGAGTGTGGGGGTGGAGGGCTGCGGGCTGACACACCCACGAGGCCACACCCGCAGCTACAGAGGATCAGATGGTGTGGCAAGAACCGGCTGGGACGCTCGGCAGCAGATCCACATTGATCACACCGCCGGCCGTGGGCAGTGTCCGGGAGAACCGGTCGGCTGGGCGGTCGCTACCTTTAGCTCCATTTTCCAGGTGGCAAGACTGAGGCAGGGGTTGCAGAGGGGCCTGGCCGGAGGTCGGCAAGGCTCGGGCTGACACCCATGTTTACGGGGCGTGTTGGGGGGGGCACGCCTGTGGATCCCCACACACCTGCCACCCCCCTCCTCAGCCCAGGGTCTGACCTTATTGAGATGCAACCAGGACCTGAAGCAGTTATAGAAACAGAATCTCCGGCTTCCTGTAGCAGGCTCAGCAGTTGGGGGCGCACCCCCTGTCATGCCATCCTAACCTTCTCAAGGGGGAGCTGCCTGTCCCACCCGGTCCGTGAACAGACCCCTGTGTGATGTGCATTGAAGCGCCTGCCCCCTCCTCTTATTCTCCAGCAGGTGTCTCAGTCCACACTGTGGTTTATACAAGTGCACACACCTTAAGCCAGGCTAGCAGGTCAGGGGTGGCGCCACCCCCGGGTCCCAAGGCAGCCAGCCGTAGACATCTGCCCAGCAGGTGATGGTGGAGGTGGCCCGGTCTCCTGTGTGTTGAGTCAGCACCTGCTCTGGACAGAGGGGCCCCCGGGGCAGGGAGCCCTCTGCCCCCTTGGGTTCCAGCGTGGGAGTGAACTTTCCCCTCTGGCTGGAGAAGGGGAGAAGTGAATGGGGCGGGCTGAACACATCCGGTCTTCTCTCGGTCCGTCTCTAGTGTCTGTCACAGCTGCCATGTCTGCCGACGGGGCCGGGGCAGGGGCCGAGGCCGGCGCCCAGGTGGCCGCGGAGGAGCCGATGACACAGGTGAGTGGCTGCGATGGGACGTTGCCCCTATTCCCTCCACCTCCAGGGACGCCTCCTGGGAACCAGGGCTCTGCCAGCTGCACCTGCTGGGGCGAGGGGTCTTTCTAATGTTTTGTGTATTTGAGAGAGAGCTCCCCTCGGCTGCTTCACCCCCTTTTCCCAGATGCCTGCCATCTGGGGCTCTGGGCCAGGCTGCTGCCAGGAGCTGCACCCAGGTCTGTCCCACCCAGGTGGGTGGCAGGGGGTCCACAAGCCCCACAGTCATCCCCTGCTGCCTGCCAGAGCTAGCTCACATAAGCGGAGAGGTGCAGGGATGTAGGCATGGCTGAGTGCTGGTGGGGGAGGAGGGCAAGTGGGTGGCTGAGTGAGGGGAGACCCCTCCCAGGCTCCCTCTGCCTGGAGCCCCGCCCACCTCTGCCCCGCTCCCCCGCCGCTGCCCCCCATAGCCGAGGGTACCTCCTGTCTGGAACTCGTCCAGGGGTTTCAGTGCAGGTTGTGTTGGAATGACTGACTTGAGGGTGCAAATTCAGACCCATAATTTGCAGCGTTGTAAACTGTGCCGCTGCGAGGTAATTATTGGTACTGTTAGAATAAAGCAGAGAGAGAGAGAGAAAGAGAGAGACAGCGCTACCATGTGCTGGGCTGCTGTTTCACCTGCGCCATGTTCTACGCAGTAACAACTATTGTAAGAATGAAGTCCTGGGGCCAGCACCATGGCATGTAAGTTAATCCTCTCCCTGTGGCACCAGCATCCCACAGGGACCCCGGTTCAAGTCCCAGCTGCCCCACTTCCCATCCAGCTCCCTGCCTGTGGCCTGGGAAAGCAGTGGAGGACGGCCCAGAGCCTTGGGACCCTGCACCCACGTGGGAGACCCGGAAGAGGCTCCTGGCTTTATTTACTTTGGCTGTGGTGGCATTGTGGGGTGAGCCAGCAGATGGCTCTCTCAAATGTCTTAACGTTGCCTTTGAAATATACATTTAATAATAATAATAATAAAAGCAATGGACTTCTGGCACACGCTGAGGCATGGGGGACCCAGCAATGTGCCGGAAACAGATGGCTATGAATGTCATTTCCTTGACATGAGCCGTGCGGGCAAGCCAAGTCAGAGACAGGAAATAAAGTGCCGTCTGCCAGACCCTGGGTCTCAGTGGGTCAGAGTCTCCTTCAAGGGTGGTGAGAATGTTCCAGAACAAGATAGTAGAGCGAGTTTGGGAGCACGTGTCCGAGCCGGGTCTCCTGAGAGCCCAAGCCCCGCTCTGAGCGACCCCCTGGCTCCCACAGCCCAGCGTGGTGGACCGCGTGGTCAGCCTGCCCCTCATCAGCTCCACGTGCGACATGGTGTCCGCCGCCTACACCTCCACCAAGGAGAGCCATCCCTGCGTGAGGACTGTGTGCGACGCAGCCGAGAGAGGCGTGAGGACGCTTACCACAGCGGCCGCCAGCGGGGCCCAACCCATCTTGGCCAAGCTGGAACCTCAGAGTAGGTGCACGCCCCCACCCCTTGCCCAGCCTTCGGGGATCTGGCCCCTTGCCCACCCCTTGCACCCTGCAGACGGTGTGTGCGGGGAGGGTACCTGCTAAGATGGGTGAGCATGCTTGCTGTACCTTTGTATCCCGTAGTCGTGTCGGCCAGCGAGTACGCCCACCGGGGGCTGGACAGGCTGGAGGGGAGCCTGCCCATTCTGCAGCAGCCCACAGAGAAGGTAAGGGGTTGGGTGGGGGGGGACTGCGTCAGCTGCCCAGGGGGACCGTCTGATTGTGGGGGTCTCTCCCCCAACCTGGAGTCCATGGTCACTGAGAGAATTCCCAGGGCTGGCCTGGGGCTGACCCAGACACAAACGTCTCCCTCCTGTGCGTCCCCAGGGCATCCCTGGCCTTGCTGAGGTTTGGCAGGACGTGGTACAAGAAGTAAAAGCTTGGGTCCTGGACGCCAAAATGCAGCGAATGTGCACCCAGCTCAGTGAAGCCCCAGGACTTTTGCACAGGTGGTTCCCGGTTTGTGAACCAACCACCAGCTGCCAGGAGAAGGTCCTCTCAGCTCTCCAGGAGCCCTAGTGGCTGCATTAGCTTTTTTTTTTTTTTTTCTTAGATTTATTTATTTTTGTGAGAGACACAGATTTACACAGAGAAGGAAAGACAGAGAGCAAGATCTTCCATCCTCTGGTTCACTCCCCAAGTAGTTGCAACGGCCAGAGCTGAGCCAATCCAAAGCCAGGAGCCAGGAATTTCTTTCCGGGTCTCCCACACGGGTGCAGGGTCCCAAGGCTTTGGGCCGTCCTCTGCTGCTTTCCCAGGCCACAGCAGGGAGCTGGATGGGAAGTGACGCAGCCAGGATACAAACCGGTGCCCATATGGGATGCCAGCACATGCAAGGCGAGGACTTTAACTGCTGAGTGACTGTGCCAGGGCCTGGTGTTGCCTTTTGGCCACTGTTACGGAGAGATACGTCGTGGCCGTGCAGCTGTGGCTGGAGTTGACCTGTTTCGATCAAAACCATCACTGGTTGATTCATTTGAAAGGGAGAACAAGAGAGAGAGAGACAGAGAGAGCGCGATCTCCCATGGGCAGGTTCTCTCTCCAAATACCAGCAGAGCTGGGGTTGTAGTAGACCCAAGCCAGGAGCCAGGAGCTCCTTCCAGGTCTCCCACGTGGGTGGCCAGGACCCAAGTGCGTGGGCGTCAACTGGCCGGCAGGGCCACCCCACACCAAGCCCCATCCTGCCAACTTCTACAGCCCTGCTCATGTCTCCCAAGGGTGCCAATGAGCAAGGGGGCAGAGCCAGAAGTCTGTAACAACCCCTTCCTGCCTCATCATGGAGGAGCAGAGGTGAAACTGGCCACAAATTGCCACTAAGCATGCATGGTGTCAAGGCAGTGCCACGTCCGTGGGTGGGGCAGGGACAGAAATACCAACACATCCCCTCTCGTAGGTGCTGGCAGACACCAAGGAACTCGTGTCATGCAAGGTGTCCGGGGCCCGGGAAATGGTGACTGGCGCCAAGGACTCTGTGGCCACCCGGGTGGCCGGGGCAGTGGATGCCACCAAGTCAGCTGTGGCCAGCGGCGTGCACTCGGTCACGGGCTCCCGCGTGGGCCAGATGGTGCTGAGCGGGGTGGACACTCTGCTGGGCAAGTCGGAGGCCTGGGCAGACAACCACCTGCCCATGACAAACGCCGAGCTGGGTGAGTGTGGCCCTGGGACCCTCCTCCTACCCCCGCAGACCCACCTGTGCCCAAAACCCCAGCAGGGTACCCCTGTATGCCCTGACTTCAGTTCCCTACCACAGCACCACCACCCCATCCACAGGGCTATAGCCCCCTATGCCCTGGCTGCACTTGGCATCCACACCACCACCAGCCCTCCACGTGGCCTCCAGCAGAGGGCGCCTGTGGTGACCCACCGGTCCGTTCTGTGCATTCTTCAGGGGCTCTGTGCCTGCAGGGGCGTGGACCTGGGCGTACCCCTGAAACCTAGGAGGGTGCCTAGCGGTCAGCCAGCATAGAAGGGACATGGGAGCTTGAGGAGGGCTGCTGGGTCCAGGCTGCATTCTCTTTCTGTTGTCCTGGAAGCCCCGCTTCCCATGGAGCACCCTGTTTGTACCTGCTTATACACCTGGAAAAGCAGCAGAGGATGGCCAAATGGGAGCCCCACATCCACATGGGAGCCCCAGAAGAAGCTCTTGGCTCCTGGCTCTAACTTGGCTCAGCCCTGGCTGTTGCGGCCACCTGGGGCAGTGACCCAGCAGATGGAAGATCTCTCTCCTTTTCTCTGTAACTCTTTCAAATATATATATATATTTAAAAATTTAATATATACATGTTTTTAAGAGGTCTTTTTGTTATTGGAAAGTCAGATGATTTTTTTTAAAAGATTTGTTTATTTTCATTGGAAAATCAGATATACAGAGAAAAGGAGAGACAGAGAGAAAGATCTTCTGTTCACTGATTTATTCTTCAAGTGGCTGCAATGGCCAGAGCTGAGCTGATCCAAAGCCAGGAGCCAGGAGCTTCTGGGTCTCCCACGCAGGTGCAGGGTCCCAAGGCTTTGGGCCGTCCTCCACTGCTTTCACAGACTGCTGGATGGGAAATGGGGCCACCGAGAAACAAATCAGTGCCCATATGGGATCCTGGCACGTGAAAGGCAAGGACTTTAACCACTAGGCTACCACGCCAGGCATAAATATATATATATATATATATATATATATATATTTTTTTTTTTTTTTTTTTTTAAAGAAAGATGATCTCATGGTATCCGGCAGTGAGGCACGTGGGCAAGGACGAGCTGGGCATGCATGCTGTAGCTGCTGGCACCTCCCAGCTGCGGTGGCCGAGCAGCCCGCTCACTGCCTTGAGCCAGGGTCCAGCCTCCCGGCCCAGGGCCACTGCCCTTCCCCAACACCCTGCCTGTCCGCTGACCCTGGTCTAACAAGGCTTCATTCAGGCCTTAGGACAGGCTGCGAGCTTGGGGGCGGGGCGGGTGTGTGTCTGTGTGGATATTTATGCAAATCTGCTACTGGCAAAAGGAAGCGAGGCCTTTTTTTTTACTTCTGAAAAATACAGGCTTGGCTTTTTTGTTTTTTAAAGATTTACTTATTTTTAATAAAAAGGGAAGGCAGATTAACACAGAGGAGAGACAGACAGATTTTTCATCTGCTGGTTTACTCCCCCAGTGGCCGCAACAGCTGGAGCTGAGCTGATCCATAGCAAGGACCAGGAACCTCTTCCAGGTCTCCCATGCAGGTGCAGGGTCCCAAGGCTTTGGGCCGTCCTCCACTGCTTTCCCAGGCCACAGGCAGGGAGCTGGATGGGAAGTGGGGCTGCCAGGATTAGAACCAGTGCCCCATGGGATGCGGGCATCACCAACAGTAGTAGTTTGACAGTGGCTGGCGAGTACAGTCAGATTCCAGTTCTGTCTGGGCTCTTGGGTCCAAGGGGCTGGAGCAGCATCTAGTGGTTTGCCCACGTCCCTGGGGTGCACACAGAGGGACGACGCGCAAGGGGCCTGCGTGGTGATGCCCGTGGAGGCGGCTGGGCCTGGCCAGGAGCCACTGCTGTGTCCTCTAAGGTGTGGCTTTCCCAGGGCCTGGGAGACAAAAGGCGTGCTCCCCACGGCCCTGACGCCCCTTCCCTCCTCTCCCTTCTGCAGCGCGCCTCGCCACCTCGCTGGAAGACTTCGACATGGCCTCAGTGCAGCAGCAGCGGCAGGAACAGAGCTATTTTGTGCGGCTGGGCTCGCTGTCTGAGAGGCTGCGGCAGTACGCCTACGAGCACTCGTTGGCCAAGCTGCGTGGGACCCGGCAGCGGGCGCAGGAGGCGCTGGGCCAGCTGGCCCAGGCACTCAGCCTGGTGAGGCCCCCTGGATGGCACCCGGCGTGGGTCATGCAGCCTGAGGGCACGGTTGTGACACAGGGGCGGAGCTTACGGAGTTGGGGTGCAGCCTGTGCATGGGGCAGGGACTGGTGTGGAGGGCCAGGGGTCTGGGGTGACCACCTTCACTCCTGGGGTTCTCCTGAGGTTTTCCTCCAACCCCCCAGAGCCGAAGTCCCAGCAGATAATTTCCAAAGCCCGGGGGAGGGAAGCAAATATAAAGGTCAGTGTGTTTTAGTGCAAAACCTTTTAAAATCCTGGTCAGCTTTGTCGGCACCTGTGCGTTTCACACAATGGGGCTTTTACAGAACGCCCCCTAAAGGCGGTGTGGTTTTCAAAAGAATTTTTGCACCAAGGCCCGCGCTGGGTCTCCTCTCCTACAGTTTAAAGATTTTATGCCCCTGTTTGAAAAGCAGAGAACAAAGAGAGAGAGAGTGGCTTCCGTCTGCTGGCTCACTCCTCCCTCGCCACGACTGCACTGGCCAGGGCTGGGCAGGGTGGAAGGCGGCTGCAGCCAGGAGCTGCACCCGGCTCTCCCAGGGGTGACACCCGCAGACACAGGAGTGCCTGGAGCCACCTCCCCTCCTGGGTTGCAGATGGAGTCGGTCAAGCTCGGCGTGGGCCAGAAGCTGGTAGACGGGCAGGAGCGGCTGCACCAGATGTGCCAGCGGTGGAGCCAGAAGCCACCCGGGGAAAAGGACCCGGCCAAGCCTGAGGTAGTTGCAAGGGCAGCCTGCCTACCTCATCCCTGCTTCTCTCTACATCACCCTCCCGGCCTCCCCCACGTCAGCCCCCTCCTCTCCTACGTCAGCGCCCCTCCTTCCTGCTGTCAGACCCCACCCTCCCACCATGACGTCAGCCCCTGCGCCCTGACGTCAGGTCCTCCTCCTTGACGTCATGCCCTCCCCCCACAGCAGGTGGAGTCCCAGGCGCTAGGCATGTTTCGCGACATCGCCCAGCAGCTGCAGGCCACCTGCACCTCGGTGGCGGGCAGCGTCCAGGGGCTGCCGGGCCACGTGAAAGAGCAGGCGCAGCTGGCCCGCCACCGGGCGGAGGAACTGCAGGCCGCCTTCGCCAGCGTGCACTCCTTCCAGGACCTGTCCGGCAGCCTGCTGAGCCAGAGCCGCGAGCGCCTGGCCGAAGCCCGCGAGGCCCTGGACCGCGTGCTGGAGTACGTGGCCCACAACACGCCTGTCATGTGGCTCGTGGGACCCTTCGCCCCTGGAGTCACCGAGAAGGGCCCCGAAGAGCAGGCATAGTGGGGATGCCAAGGCTCAGGGCTTCTGTCTGCCCACCCTGGAGGAGCCAGCAGGGACCCTGCATTTCCCAGCCAGGCGGCTGAATTCAAAACCAGCTTTTTATTTTTATTTTTTTTTTCCCTAAACCCTCTTTTTCTAACCCTTGGTTTGGGAAAACGAGGGATCCCACAGCCAGTCCCCCGCCCCTTTCAAGTTTGGAAGAGGTGTGTGCTGCGTGCGGCCTCACCCCATCTACCAGCAGAGGGAACTTTCTGGGAACAGATTTTTTTTTTCTGGAAGTTTCTGGAATGTTCCTTCCCAAAACAGAACAAAATCAGGTATCTTGTCCCATTCCGCTTCTTTTCCAACATCAAGGCCTGCAGAGATCAGCCTTCTTGAGTGGATAAACTCGCTCCTGCTTGGCGAGCCCAGATGAATGACCCGGGTGCTAATTTCTGCCTTAATACATTTTATCTGCAGCTGCCTACGGGCTCCATGTGTTTGTGTGTGTGTGTGTGTGTGTGTGTGTGTTCACGTTTGCCATGACACAAGCACTTTAGGGAGGGCTGGCGTTCGGACTGGGCAAGTTTGCAGCACTGATATGCGCTGGTTCAAATCCCGGCTGCTCTGCCTGCAAGCCAGCTCCCTGCTCGTGCACCTGCCATCCGTGTGGGAGACCCGGATGGAGCTCCTGGCTTTGCCCTGGCTCAGCCCCACAGGATGTGGCTATCTGGGGATTAAACCAGCGCATGGAACAACTTTGTCCCCAGATAAGGCCTTCTGTGCGTGACCAGAACCAGGTCGGGCAGAAGCCAGGAGCCAGCAGCTCTGTCTGGGTGTCCTAGTGGGTGGCACAGGCCTCCCCTGATACATCATGCATCTGGGAACTGGTGATCAGAGCCGCACACAGGAATCCAGTTGTGTGTGTGCCAGGAGGCATGGACCCCCACCTCGGAGTACAGAGCATGAAAAAGAAAGTGGCACGCAGGGGGAGTGGTTGGTGGGGAAATGAACCTTCTTGGGTACCCAGGACCCACGGCGTTGGCGTTTAGAGAACAACCCAGAGACGTTTAGCAAGACCGAGAGCGTGCCTTCCCCACATCCTGGAACAAGTGCCCCCAAGTTCCCCTTTCCGCACCCCAGGCACAACTGCCTAGTCCCTTCACCAACCACAAAACTGGTGCCAGTGAAGGAAACTGAGGCACAAGCCCCAGCTCCCCCTCCCAGGACGCTCAGCAGCAGTGAACATAGCAGACACAGCCACCAAGTGTGCCACAAGCATCCCAGGTGGCTGCCGGTTCGAATCCTGGCTGCTCTACTTCCCACCCGACTCTGCTCGTGCACCTGGGAAAGCAGTGGAGGATGGACCAAGGACTGGGGTGCCTGGACCCACGTGGGAGACCCAGTTGGAACCTCTAGCTTTGGTCTGGCCTGAGTGGCCATTTGGGGAGAGGCCAGTGGATATAAGCTCTTTCTGAGTCCATCTCTGCCTCTCTCTCCCTGTCAAACAAAACACAAAAAAATGCATAGCGTTGCATGGAAACATATCTCAGGACTGCTTTGCACACAACACCCTCGTCTTTCTTGGAAAGGGGTTCACTGGGGTGCAAAAATGGAAAAACCACATGGGCGGAACCCAGAGTGAAGGGCTGGGGGTGGAGGACGGAAGATGGTGGGGAATTTGACCCCAGCTAGAAAGCTGCTTGCTTGCAGCAAACGAGAGAGGTGGCAGCTGCCCGTATGGCCGATGGCTGACTTTGCTGAGCCTCAGAGTTCCCATGTATAAACCGGGTATCACCGGGTGTCAGCCCGAAGCTTCCTGCAGCCAGGAACCACCATCCCTGATGACAAATACTTGAACGCCAGATATGCATGGCATACAGTGGGCACCTGGGAGAGGAGAGGAACTAAGTAAAGAGAACTGGGGTGCTTGGCACAGACCTAGCCCAACCCTAAGGACTTTTTTATTATTTATTCATTTATATTGGAAAGTCAGATATACAGAGAAAAGGAGAGACAGAAAGATCTTCTGTCCAATGATTCACTCCACATGCGACCACAACGGCCGGAGCTGAGCCAATCCAAAACCAGGAGCCCAGAGTCTCTTTCAGGTCTCCCCTGCAGCTGCAGGGTCCCAAGGCTGTGGGCCGTCCTTGACTGCTTTCCCAGGCCACAGGCAGGGAGCTGGATGGGAAGTGGGGCTGCCGGGATTAGAACCAGCGCCCCTATGGAATCCCAACACATGCAAGGCATGGACTTTAGCTGCTAGGCTACCATGTGGACCCAGAACTTTTTTCTTTCCATTGGAAAGGCAGATTTACAGAAAAAAGGAGAGTCAGAAAGAGCTTCCATCTACTAGTTCACTCCCTAAGTGGCTACAATGTCTGGAGCTGAGTTGATCCGAAGCCAGGAGCCAGGAGCTTCTTCTGGGTCTCCCACACAGGGAGCAGGGTCCCAAAGCTTTGGGCCGTCCTCCTCTGCTTTCCCAGACCACAAGCAAGATGGGAAGTAGAGTAGCTGGGACATGAACTAGCGCCCCTATGGGTTCCTAATGATTGCAGGGGGTGGATTAGTCAATTGAACTATTGCTCTGAACCCAAGAATTCAGTTTCAAAAGATCATTTGGGTTGGCTGCTGGCAGGTCCAAGGCCAGGTTAGTCTCCATGCTCAGAGCCCTGATTCCAGCCGCCATGAACAGCACACCAGGGAGGGAGGGGGCGGAGCCGGCAGGGGCAATGTGGGCTCTGGAGAGTGTGGGTTGGGATGGGGGCAGACCAGGCCAGGCAGGGCTACAACACCTGTGTGCCTCATGTGAGCTGGATCAGGGAAAAGCCAGGTTGGGCTGACTGTTCCAACTGGTGCACGCACAAATTAGAGTGGGTGAGGGTTGGTTGGGCTTTGCCGCAGCATCAGCTGGCAGAGGCTGGCACTGGGGGCTGAATCTGTCAAGTTAAATTCCAGAGCTACCTGGAGAGTGCATAATCTGGGAGTGGGAGTGTCCTAGGAGGGAAATAGTGGGCTCCTGCCTCTTGGGTTACCACTCCCACTGGAGAGCACAAAAACCAGGACAGGGGCAGGGGTGGCTAGACAGACAGGCACTCATGGTGGCATGTGTGTGGGCTGGATAGTCGGGCTGGTTGGGTTGAACTAGGCTTCAATGCCCATTGACATGTATGAGAGCTGAATGGGATGGGGGACAGACTGGACCAGTCTGCTGCACATACTGGCAAGCACGGGAACCAGGGCAGGGGGCAGGCCTGGTGGGGGTTATTGTGGGTCACTCTGACTAGGCTGCAGCTCCCACTGGTTTATGTGAAGGCCAAGTGTGTGCTGGGCAAAATCAGGCTGGACTGCAACACCCATTGGTTCCAGTGGAAGACAGGGCTGGAAACAGAACCGACCCAGCAATGGCAACCATCAACTGATTGGGGCGATGGACTGTACCCGGCCCTGTACTTACAAGTACACACAAGAATCTGGTCTGGGAACACCTCAAGGTTTCTTTGGGGATCTCCCCAGTCGAACTGCCGGACTCAGAACCTCAACCATGAGGAGAAGCGCAGGTTCCATGGTCTGCCATGGAGTGCAAGTGCCAGAGCCGAGCCTCCCGAGAGGCTCAGACGGGGCAGTGGACAGCATAACCAGGCGCTCATGGAGGACAGGGCAGTCCATCGGAACCTGCAGAGGACACCTGGTACCACGACAGAGGACATGAAGGAGGACACTGTGACCCTAGAAGGTCAGCGAGCACACGCATTGGACAATATTTGTATGGAAACAACTGAATGGGTGCCTTTTGTATACCTGATGGGCTATTATTTGTGTAAGAACAGTTGAGTGGAAAGCAGGTGTGTGACAACACTTGATGGAATATGCAAGACAAAAGGAGTTCCAAACAAAAGCATAGAAATGGTTGATGGGCTTTGTTGATGAGCTCAATACCTCCTCCCTTATCCCGTATGACCTCAGCCTATAAAGTCTGATGCCCCGAATAAATTTCGGCTATTGGTCCAGAACAAATCGATCAACTACCCCAGCCATATGTTGGCAGTGAAAAACTGGGCAAACGGAGACTCTAAGGTGGACCATGCCAACCAGTGGGTTCGGCAACGACTTCATCGTGCTTGGAATGGCGAGATTGGCAGTGATTCAGAACTGTTGAATTATCAAAACCACTTGAGTAAGACCCTCTGGGAGCGGCATCTGGCTCTCCCCGGTGGGTGGCTGGGCCCAGGCACCGGAGTTGCCTTCTGCTGCTTCCCAGGAGCATTAGCAGGGAGCTGGACCCGAAGTGGAGCGACCAGGACTGACACCGAGGCTTTGAAGTGGGTGGGACGTAGGGGCCACAGGTGGTGGCTGAACCAGCTGTGCCCCAGCAGAGGCTGGGTGACCATCAGCCTTGGCTTAATGCAAAGGGGGCAATTCAGGACCTTGAATTCCAAAGGGGGAAGGGAGGAGGGACCAGAATAGGTGTCTGTGCCTTGCACTTCCTCCCCAACCAGGGTTAGCAGGTCCTAAGCGAGGGGTGTCAGGGGCAAGCCACCTGGAGTCAGACTGTTGCTAGTGAGCAGGGACCGACCCTGGGGCTGCGGGGCCAGCTGCGGGATAACTATTCTGGCATTATTTTCTAAAATCTCCACCGATGGCTACCTGGGAGATGCGTCTATGGAGTATTTTCCAAGTTGTTGTCATAGGGGTGCTTTAAGTTGCCATTAGAAAAAAAAGAAGGAAAAACGGCCCAGCACGATAATCCAGTGGCTAGAGTCCTTGCTTTGCATGTGCCAGTATCCCATAGGAACACTGGTTTGGATCCTAGCTGCTCTGCTTCCCATCCAGCTCCCTGCCTGTGGCCTGGGAAAGCAGTGGAGGACGGCCCAAAGCCTTGGGACCCTGCACCTGTGTGGGAGACCCAGAGGAGCGCCTGGTTACGCTCCTGGTTTCAGATTGACTCAGCTCCAGACATTGTGGCCACTTGGGGAATGAACCAGCAGATGGAAGATATTTCCTTCTGTCTCTCTTGCTCTCTGTAAATTTGCCTTTCCAATAAAAATAAGTACATCTTAAATACATATGTGTGTGTAAGTGTATGCTGTGTGCCAGGACCTCCTAGAAGCAGCTCCTGCAGGTTGTCGTCCTTATAGCAGGTGCCAGAACCGCCCCCCCACACACACACCTGTTTTTCAAGATGGATTCGCAGACTTGGCGAGAGCAAGATGCGTGTCCCACATCCGGGGTTGCTCAGCCACCCCTGCATCTGACTGCATGCACCTGCTATTGCTGTCTGGATTGGCTTCTGGCTGCAAGCTCATATAGTTTGTGGCTCCCTCCCCAAATTTAAAAATCACCAAAATTTCTAATCCCTGCAGCCCCTCTCGCCCACCCAGGATGGGCTGGACTTGGCACCCCACGCAGCACCTTCCCTGGTCTGTCTTGCTCTTTCTTGCTTGCTTTCTTGCTTTCTCTCTCTCTCTTTTCAATTCCTAACCTCATTGTGAACTTGTAGCCCCACCCCCACCCACCCGCCAAGTTTGTTCCTCTTGCTAACTTCCACGCGCAGCAAACAGTGCGTGCCCCAACTTGCGGCGCGGACCCCGAGCATGCGGAGGCGACCCTGGGCTTGGGTCAGGGGGTGTCTCGGGCCTCGTCGGGGAGTTTCCCCTTGAGCCGGGCTGGGCAGGCCCCGGAAGGAGGGTGACCTCACCAGTGGACCCGCCCGTCCTGGGCACGCAAGGTGCCCCGCAGGATACGGAAGAGGAGGCGCCGTTCCTCTGCCTGTCTGCGCCAGCAGCCCAGCAGCGCGCGCGGGAACCTTTGGACCCCAGCAGGGACACACCGAGCTCAGGGGAGCAGCGCCGGGGTGGACGGACAGCCAGGGTAAGTGGAGAAGGGACATCCGGTGCTCATTCCCAGCGCGTCCTGGCTTCCCCCTGGGCTGCTTGCTGGCCAGGCAGTGGCATGCTGAGAGTCGGGTTCCCCCTTCCCCAATCCCCACCACCTGTCCAGTGCCGCCCAGGGTTTGTTTCCACCGCTAGACAGAGCAAACAGCCCCCCTTAACGCGGCGGATGGGAGCAAGGGGGTTGGACTAAGGGACACTGTGGCGGATGGAGCCAGCTTCCCTCCACCTGCCTCAAGAGGCCCGTTCACTCACTCAAACGGGCAGCAGGCGTTGCATCTGGGGTCTGCAAAAACGGGGTTGTTGCTTGCACGGCACATGTGGGGCTCACAGACAGCTGGGAGGTCTCTGACCACAACGCCACATCCTGTGTCCCGAGTGCTGCTTTGTGTCCTGGGCCTTCCCCGGTTGGTCCAGCTCTCAGAGGATGGCGTCTGGGCAGGTGGCAGTGACTGCTCAAGTGCTGTGGTCCCTGCCAGCCACCCATGTGGGAGACCCAGAGGAGATCCTGGCTCCTGGCCCAGCCCAGGCCAGTGCAAGCTCTCTCTTTGCCTTCAATTTTTTTTTTTATTAGATTATTTATTTTTATTGGAAAGGCAGATACACAGAGAGGAGGAGAGACAGAGAAAGATCTTCTACCTGCTGGTTCACTCCCCAAGTGACCATAGCGGCCAGAACTGAGCTAATCCGAAGCTAGGAGCCAGGAGCTTCCTCCAGGTCTCCCACGCAGGTGCAGGGTCCCAAGGCTCTGGGCCATCCTCCACTGCTTTCCCAGGCCACAGGCAGGGAGCTGGATGGGAAGTGGAGCAGCCGGGACACGAACCGGTGACCCTATGGGATTCTGGCGGATGCAAGGCGAGGACTCCAGCCACTACACTACAGCACCAGGCCCACTGTTGTTTGTTTTTGAAAGACACTTTGATTGTGGTGCCTGAGACTTTGGAAATCCCTGTGTATGAAGTGATCTCTCAAAAGTCTCTCTATGCAAATGTGGTATGAAGAAACTGCATGGGAAGAGAGTGAGAGGTTATTTTGCACCAAATAAACACAGATTTCATTCCGTTTCCTGGAAAGACTTGCGGAGGACTCGCTGCTAAGATGCTGACTAAGTGTTTGCTGATTGCCCGCAGTGACTCGGCACGTCCCTGGGCTTGTCTGCTTGACCCACGGTGTTATTGGTTCTGAAGGACTCACGGATTTTTTTTTTCCTTTGAAAGATTTATTTATTTTGATTGGAAAGGAAGATATACAGAGAGGAAGATCTTCCATCTACTGCTTCACTCCCCAAGTGGCCACAACGGCTGTAGCTGAGTTGATCCAAAGCCAGGAGCCGGGAGCCTCTTCCTGGTCTCCCACGCGGGTGCAGGGTCCCAAGGCTTTGGGCCGTCCTCCACTGCTTTCCCAGGCCACAGGCAGGGAGCTGGATGGGAAGTAGAGCAGCCTGGATATGAACCAGTGCCCATATGGGATCCCAGAGCATACAAAGCAAGGACTTTAGCCACTAGGCTACTGCATAGGGCCCTGTTTATGGATTTGAAAGGCAGAGTGACAGAAGGAGGGAAAGATCTCCCACCCACTGGTTTATTCCCCACGTGACTCTAAGAACCTGGATTAGCAGACCTGGCGTGACGGCTCAACCCTCACCTTGCACCTGCCGGGATCCCTATAAGTGCTGGTTCGTGTCCCGACTTCTCCACTTTCCATCCAGCTCCCTGCTTGTGGCCTGGGAAAGCAGTGGAGGACGGCCCAAAGCCTTGGGACCCTGCACCCGCGTGGGAGACCTGGAAGAAGTTCCTGGCTTTGGGTTGGCTCGGCCCCTGCCGCTTTGACCAGTTAGGGAGTCAACCAGTGGACCACTTTTTCTCTATATGATTATGCCTTTCGAATAAAAAGAAAGAAAAAGAGTTGGGATTAGGCCGGGAGGAAGCCCGGAGCTCCATCCGGGTCTCCTTACATTGGTAGCCAGAACTTCTGGGCTTGGGCCACCTCCTGCTGCCCTTCCAGTGTAGAAGCCAGGAACTGCTGTGGCCGGGACTCGAACCCTAAGTGGTAGCCATGTTTCCATGGCCACCAGGTAATATTCAAAGTGAGCCAAGTAGCCCGCAAAGAAGGCTGAGGTGTCAGAGGCCCAGCCCAAGGACTGGGGCCCTCCCCAGCCCCGCACGCCAAGACCTAACCTAGACACCCCACCAGGGACCCTACGTCTAATCGCCATCATGCGACAGGGCCCTCAGCGCATGTTTCTATGTTTTTTCCCCCCTACATTTCTTTCTTTCTTTCGAGAAGGCGAAAGAGTTGTCTTCCGTCTGCTGGTTTGCCCCCCGGTGGCCCAAGCCGGACCCCATGAGCTGGGCCACCAAGTAGCAGAACTGGGCACCCTGTCCCTCAGTGCCAGGAGCGGACCTTGTCCTGGAGGTGTGCAAGGGGCAGACGCGTGGAGAAGGAGAGGGTGGGGTGACGGGGTGGCTTGAGGTCCAGGCAGGGCGGATCCAGTGGACAGAGGGACAGGGTGCAAGACCTGCCTACGGGCGGGCGTGTGCGATGAGTAATAAAATCCAAGACAGGGAGCCGATGGGAAGCGGAGCGCCCAGATAGGACCCTGCAACATGCAAAGCAAAGACTTTAGCCACTCTGCTTACCCTGCCAGGCCTGAAAAAAAAAAATTGTTTTTAAAGATTCTAAGAGGCTACTATCATGGCATGGCAGGTTAAGCAACGTCTTGTGTCACCTACAACCTAAATCCAAGTGTGGCATCCTGGCTGCTGCCCTTCCCGCCCTGCTCCCTGCTCACGTGCCAGGCAGTGGACTTCACCCACAGGGGAGAGCCAAGTGGAGCTCCTGGCTCCTGGCCTCAGCCTGGCCGCCGGCGGCTCTGGCCGTTGGAGATGGGCCCTGGGAATGAAACAGCAGATGGAAGATCTCTCTCTCTGTCTTTCAATGGCAGAGTCCAAAAGAAAGCCACAGATAATATCTACCAATGAGCCCTGTGGAGAAACTTGGTTGGGTCGCTTTTGTTCTAGGCTGATTGGGACAGGGCTGGGCCACATGCCTGGAGGGAGACACTGAGATATCTGAGGGGAAGTGCTCTGGGGAAGGGACAGAGAGGTGCAAAGGCCCTGAGGCCCGGCTGTGCCGGGGAGGACCACAGCCTATAGCAGGTGTGTCCCGGTTTGCATACTACATCTCATTAGCATCGCTTCCAGACTGGTGGCTCCCGGGAGGTGGGGCCATCTCCATGTTCCTGGTAGGCCCAGCCATGCCCCTAATCATGTTTATTTTTAATGTATTTGCAAGGCAGGCAGACAGAGCCCAGGACCCTGGTTCACTTCCCCAAATGTCTGCCACAGTCAGGGCTGGGCTAGGCTGACTCTACAAGCAGGGAGTTTCATCTGGGGGGAACAGGGGGGCGGGCCTTTCTCACTTGGGGGGCCCAAACCCTCCTGGAGCCAACACTTACTGCCTGCCCCGGGTGAGCAGCAAGGAGGGGCCTAGAATCATGGGTTGGAGCGGAGAATCGAAACTGCGCACTCCCAGCGCTGCGTTTAAACAAAAGCAGGCAGAGCTAGTCTGACATATCAACCTCATTCCTGGGCATTCAGCCCGTTCCGCCCCGGGGCTGGCGGGGTGCTCCTCCTTCGCCCCAGCTCCTGACTGGCCACCTCCGGCCATGCCCCCTCCGCCCTGCAGGCAGGCCTCACTGGGTTAGCTGGCCGGGTCCAGTGAGCTCACCCAGAAGGGGTTGGTATTTTCTGAAAATCCTGAATTATCATGCACACAGAATCTGGACTGTGTCAGAACAGACGTGAGCGACGAATGAGTCAGTGTCTGGTTTAGGTCAGGGAGCCCCCCTCGCCCTCCACCCCCGCCCCCGCCTGTGGACCGCCTGGGGTCGTGATTCAGGTCGTGTTGGATGTTGCCCTTGGCCTCTGCCATCATCCTGGTCCGCATCGCTCCTGGCCACCCTGGGAAACAGCAGGTGACCCAAATCCTTGGGCTCCTGTCACCCACGTGGGAGACCCCGAGACAGCTTCTGGTTTCAGCCCGGCCCGGTCGGGTGGAAAATGGAGGAGAACCAGCGGGTGGAAAACGCCATCTCTCTGTGTCCATCTGTCTGACAGGTCACCGCCTGTCCCATGCTTTCTCCACAGATCCATCCCGCCTCCCCGCCAGGAGCTGGCACTATGAATGCTTAGGGGGGATCGCCAGGCGAGCAGCGGGGGGGCACAATAGATCATGCCTCCCCCATCCCCAGCTTCTCCCGCCGCCCGAGGCCGCGCCCTCCGGTGCCCATGGCCTGCTCGGTCCCATCGCTCCCTGGGGCCTTCGACATCCTCCGGGCTGCGGGTCAGGACAAGCTCTTGTTCCTGAAGCACAAATTGAAGATCCTGCGGCCCAGCTGTCGGGGGGCTGACCTCCTGCACGCCATGGTGCTCCTGCAGCTGGGTCAGGAGACAGAGGCCAGGCTCTCCCTGGACGCCCTCAAGGACGATGTGGTGGCCCGGCTAGTGGCCCGTCGCTGGGCTGGCGTGGAGGTGGACGCTGTGAAGGCTGGGGATGAGCAGCAGGAGGAGGAGGAAGAGCTGCTGGCGGATGTGTCCTGGACAGTGGCCCGTCTGTACCACCTGCTGGCTGCGGAGAAGCTGTGTCCCAGCTCCACGCGGGATGTGGCGTACCAGGCTGCTCTTCAGATTCTGGCCTCCAGGGACGATCCCCGGCTGGGGCAGCTCCGAGAAGAAGCCAGGCACCAGTGTGGGTGGGACATGCTTGAGGACCCTGGTAGCTTTGCTCCCCTGCGTTCCGATCGTAGCTGCTTCCCTCCCAGCTCCCGGAGTCTACCATGCCCCGTCCAGAACCCATCCGGCTGGAGTCGAGGCTGCTCCCTGCGTTCCACGGGCACTCCCGGCTGCGCTGGTACCCCCAGCTCCTTGGGCAGCCACTTGGAAATCAGCCGGTCACCCACCGTGCACCTGTCCAGCCTGCGGCGTGGGCCCCGTGGGCCGCCTGGCAGCCTGGGTGCCGAGCCCCTGGCTGATCAGGCACCACCCGTGGGCCGCCAGGAGCCGGAGGAGATGAGCTGGCCACCCTCGGTGGAGCCCGCCAACCCCCAGGAGGGACCACAGGGTCGGGATGTGGGTCTCTCTGAGCCGTCCCTGGAGCCGGCCTCGAACACCTCCCCGGCTCCGGAAGCTAGCACCAGTTACCCTGTAGAATGCACCGAGGTCTCACCTGCAACTCCATGCTCCATCCCGTTGCAAAGCCTGGAGCCCCCCCAAATTATCAGCTCCCCCAGAGAACAGGAGGGGCCGCTCCAGGAGCCTGTGGGACATTCCAAGTCCCAGGACACTGAGCCATGCCCAGCTGCTTCCTGTAACCCCGAAACATCCTTCCCTCCTCCCTCCTCCTCCTCCTCCTCCTCCTCCACCTCCTCCTCCTCCTCCTCCTCTTCCACAACCACGCCCCCTTCTCCAGCCCCACGTAAACCAGAGCAGAAATTCTACAGCTTCGTGGTGCTGCACGCCAAAGCCGACGAAGACATCGCCGTGCGCGTCCGGGACAAGCTGGAGTCCCTGGGCGTGCCCGACGGTGCCACCTTCTGTGAGAATTTTCAAGTGCCCGGGCACGGTGAGCTGAGCTGCGTGCAGAACGCCATCGACCACTCTGCCTTCGTCATTTTCCTCCTGACCCCAAACTTCGACTGCCAGCAGGGCCTGCACCAGGTGGGCCAGGCCCTCATGAACTCCTTCACACGACGAGGCTGGGAGAACTGTGTCATTCCCTTCCTGCCCCAGGGCATCTCCCAGGCCCAGCTGGCCCCTCACACGGTCAGCATACTGTCCAGTGTGGTGTGGCTAAGGGAGGACTCCAAGATCTTCGCCAAGATTGTGGCCAACACCTTCAGCACCAAGACGCTCCAGGAGCGTAAGGATCTGTGGAGAAGAGACCAAGACTCCCGGGCCTTGCAGGAGCAGAACCAGCAGCTGGAGGCCCAGCGGCAGAGCGTGGCCGCCATGACCAGCAGCTACTCCGCCTACATCCAGAATTACATGTCCTTGCAGGCACAAATAGAAAAGCTGCATGCCGCTTTTGCAAGTCACATGTCCTTGGGCGCGGGTGCACCTGCCGGCGGGGCTCAGGGACCCATGGGACCCCTGCCTCCCTTCCCCACGTGGCCTGCTGCCTTCTCTCCACTTGTGCAGCCACCACCACCACCTCCACCCCTGCTGCCCCAGTACCTGGGGCAGGTGGGCTTCCCGCCGCCCCCCACCCCGGCGCCACCGGCACCCCCTCCTCCAAGCCTCGGGCTGCAACCACTCATCATCCACCACGCTCAGATGGTCCAGCTGGGAATGAACAATCACATGTGGGGCCAGCGAGAAGCCCAGGGACCCGAGGACACGACGACGCAGCAGATGGAGTGACCGGACAGCAGTGGCCGCCCCCTGGACCTCGGGCCCGGGGCCTTGGATTTGCCCTGTCTGGTGGGCAGTGGAGGATCGGGGCTTGGAGCTAGGGACCTGTGCTCCCACAGGGACACTGCCTAGGCAATGGATTGTTCTGGAGATGGAACACACTGGACTCCCGGGGCCAGAGTCCTGGAGTGATGGCCTTTGGAAGGATAATAAATATTTATTATGTAATTCTCCAGCGTCCATCTCGGGCCATTCCATAAGAACCACGTGGCCTGACCGCCCTGGGGGAGGGAAGAGAATGTCTCCCATTGAAGGGGAGGAGCCGGAGGTAGTGCACATGTACTTTCATCCCATTGGCTGGCCTAGGGACACGTGCTGTCAGCTCTGGCTGCAAGGACCGCTGGGAAATGTAGTCTTCTGAGGGCTGCCACTACACTGGGCCAGCTAAGTCTCGATTCTAACAGTAGTAGAGAACGCGGGAGCAGGAGGCAGGGAAGAAGGCCCTTGTTTTATGGGGTCGGCTTGAACTGATTCTCAAGATTTTAAGGTCATCATTGCATTTCCACCCTCAGCTGATGGAAGGGTGCTGTGGGCTAGGGAGATGCTATAGTGGGCCCATTGCACAGAGGGGTTAAACTGAGGCCAAGAGATGTAACTTCCGACTTCCAGGGTCACTCAGGACCCCGTGAGGAAGCTGGCGTTCCCAGGGATGGAATGAAGGGGGAAATTGAGGACACGTCCATCGCCCCGCCCATGTCTGGGCTATGGCTGACTAACTCCAGGCAGTCACGTAGCACCGGCCTGGCCGGGGCGGGTGCTGACTCACCAGGGCAGGTGGCTGGTGGAGAGGGCTGCCCGGGACCTGGCAGGCAGAGCTGCTAAGGTGGAGCTCAGCTTACAGAGCAATGGCTAACACCCTGGGGCAGCAGGGCGAGCGCTGAGTCGCAGGGCCTCCTCGGGCCACGGGGAGCATCGACCATGGGCGCCATGCAGTGGACAGCAGTGAGCGTGCCTGGGTCGAAGGTCCATGAGGTGACCGTCAGCCTCTGGCCGTCCCAGGTCAGCCATGCGGCCGAGAGAGCGAGCAAGCCAGGTGGCGGCTCCCACCTTCCCCGAGACCTTGGCAGGAACTCGGATCTGAGATTCCCACCAGCAGCTGCTCCGGGCTAGAAGGGACGGGAACCCCAGGACTTAAAATGGGGCAGGGCACGTGGTGCGTGGTCAACCGCATGCCATGAGTAACCCCCTGCTGTGGGCAGGCACCCGGGGCCAATGGTCGCTGCCTTGACACCCCGGGGGGGAAGTGACTAAGCAGGGGTTGGCCCAAGTCCCGGGGTCCCTCGTCACCCACCCACGTGGGAGACCCCCACAGAGCTCCTGGCTCCCCCAGCTTTGGCCCAGCCCAGCCCAGCCCAGTCCCAGTTGGTGGTTGCAGCCATTTGGGGGTGTAATCGAGCCCAGGGATCTCTCTTTTTTTGTTTGGTTTTTTTTTTTTTTTTGCTCCCTGCTGCTTTTCAAATACAACGAAAATACAGCTGTTTGAAACAGCAAGGAGGAAATACAAGAGGTGCCACGAGGCGGGAGCCAGGGGTCAACGTGCCGGGAGAGGACCCCAAAAAGATGGGTTAGCTCAGAGAGGCGTCCAGGCTGGACCCATTCCCGCGGCTGCGGCGCCCTCTGGCGGGAGCTGCAGGGCCCACGTGGAAGGGACAAAGGGGCAGCCATGGTCAGGGCCACAGATCACAGGACAGAAGAGGGTCCACGTGGCCGTGGCGTGGGCCAGGAGCCGTGCTGTAGACTGGTGCCTGCCAAATCCACAGATATGGCCGTGGCGTGGGCCAGGAGACGTGCTGCAGACTGCCAAATCCACAGATACCTGCGCCCGTACCCCCTGTCCAACAGAGAGAGAAATCTTCCAGCCGCCAGCTCCCTCCCCAGTCACCATCAACAGCCAGCCAGGCGTTTCATCAGGGTCTCCCACGTGGGTGCAGGGACCCCAAGCCCTTGAGCCATCCTCTGCTGCTTTTCCAGGATCATTAGAGAGCTAGATGGCAAGTGGAGCAACCGGGACACGAACTGGCACGCTTAGGGGACACAGGCTTTGCAGGCGGTGGTCGACCACCTCACAGAAAGACCCCTGAAGGTTAGCGAGAACCCAATTCCCAAGGTGCCGCTAACGGAGCTTGTCTCTCTCGCGCGCACCCCTTCCCTCCCCCGAGGAAGGTTCTGTCTGTCCGAAACAAAGAATGTTCTGGAAGGCAGGAGACTGGAGTCCAGTTCAAGAGGTGCCAGAATCCTGGAATTCCAGAAGGTTGGGGGATCCAGAGCGCCCAGCACGCTGCCCCAAGCACCGCCCATCCCCACCAGGTCCTGGCCATGCCCATCCCACCAGCCACACACAACACCCACAGCAGCGACCACGCCCACGGGGTCAGGTGCCCCTACCCTCCTCCGTGTGGGTGGCAGCAGCTCCGGGGAGTGCCCGCTCACTGCCTGACCCACTGCTGGCTGTCCTCGGCCTGCCCTAAGGGCCTCAGCCCTTCGCCTCCCCCACCCAAGCCATCCATGCACAGGGCACCCGGGTCCCCCCACCCCAGCCGGGGGCCATAGCCCACTGGGGGTGTTCAATGTTTCCTGATGAACAGACTTGGAAAATGACAGGCTGACATGTATTAAATAGAATTAACATACCAATACAGACCCCACTGAGAGAAGCCGAGGTAAGGTGCCCCAGGAATCTTTTATGAAGCTTTATAAATATATATTTTTTAATTGGAAAGTCAGATATATAGAGAGAACGAGAGACAGAAAAATCTTCTGTCCAATGATTTATTCCCCAGGTGGCCACAACAGTCGGAGTTGAGCTGATCCACATCCAGGAACCAGGAGCTTCTTCCAGGTCTCCCACGCGGGTGCAGGGTCCCAAGGCTCTGAGCCGTCCTCCACTACTTTCCCAGGCCACAGGCAGGGAGCTGGATGGGAAATGAAGCAGCCAGGATACGAACCAGTGCCCATATGGGATTCTGGCGGATGCAAGGCAAGGACTTATGCCGCTAGGCTAGAGCGCCAGGCCCTTAGATATTTCTTTAACATGAGTGAATGTTCCAGGCAGTGCCTGAGCCGACAATGGCTGAGATGCCCTAATCCGCCACCCACTGGGGTCCAGCGCTCAGCTTAGCTCTGGCTCCTGATGGCAGTTTCTAGCAGTGGCGGGTTCCTGCCCTTGTCATCCCTGTGGGAGACCTGGATGAAGCTTCTGGCTCCTGGCTTCGCATCAGCTCAGCTCTGGCTGTGGCAGCCACTCACAAGTGACCCAGTGGATGGAAGATCTTCCTCTCTGTCTCTCCTTATCTTTGTAAATCTGCCTTTCTAATAGTAATTTTTTTTTTAAAGTCCCTGGAGAAGTACAAGACCAGTTTATTTTGGTGCCAAAAATAAAAAATTTTTGAAACCCTCACATTTCGCATAGGGGGTTTTCCCAAAGTTTATGATAAATGTGTATCATTAAAAAAAAAAATGGTGCATGGGCTTCCAAAAATGTGTCCTGCACAATATACGCTTTTCACTTCCATTCCCGGAAGTGTTGGAGGCCACTATAGGCTGATCCCCGAAGGCCTCCCGGAGGAGGTGAGATCGGACTCCCCCAGGACCCTGGGCAGGCGTTACCCAGTGGGCACAGGGACTGGAGGCCGGGGCTGGGGGTGAGGTGGGGTCACAGGGTCCAACCCTCCCCTCTGCAGAGGCAGCCCCCAGCAGGCTGGGACAGGGTTCCCGCACGCCCCACCCGCCTACCAGGGGACTCGCAGGGTTGCTATCTTTAGCTCCAGGCAAGCGCCTGGCTGGGCTGGTAAACACGGCTCGGATGACCCGCCAGGCGCCCGCGGGTCTGGCGAGGCCTGAGTGCTCAGAGAAGGACATGAGGCCTTATGCCCAACTTCCCAGGGGCCTCTTGGCAGAGTGGGGGGGCCCACAGAGCGACAGAGACAGCCGCCCCCACTGCCCTCCAGGCCCATATCTCCTCCCCCCCACCCCCCGTACCTCCCAGCCCCCCAGATCCCATGAGGTTCCCTGACCCGAGAAGCAGAGGGTGCACCCCCCTCCAGGGTGACAGGCGTCTCCGGCTCAGCCCGGACATGAAGGGGACTGGGTGACCAGGCCTCGTTCTCCCAAAACCCAAGCAGGCAGACCTCCCACGTGCTGCGAACCCCCCAGGTGCATGGGCAGAAGGCTGGAGGCAAGGCGGCGTGGGGAAGACTTGAACCCGGTGCCCAAGGGGTGCCTGGAATTGCAGAGTTCTGATGTTGGGCCGGGGGCAGTGTCCAGCTGCTGGGTCCCGGGGAATGGCTGCTGTCCGAGGGGTGCACGGCTTGGGAAGGAGCCTGGGGCCGCTCCAGGCAGATGGCTGTGGGGTTCAAGCAGGCCACGTGGGCGGTATGGACGCGGTGGGTGTGACCCCCTGACTTCCTCCCACACACTTCCCACTCCACCCACGCTCCCACACCACGGACCAGGCAGGCCACACACAGACACTCCCCTCCAATCCCATTTTTTTTTTTTTAATGACTCAGGTGTCGGCGGGCGGGAGGGGCCTGTAAAGTGCATTTCCTGTCTTCAGCATCAATAAATAAATCAATGAAAGTAACACTGCAAGCGCACACGCGGCTGCCTTCCGCAAGTCCGCACGCGCACGCACGCACACGCACACGCTGGGCTCCGCGGGCCACGGACTGTCCAGGTTCAGGGTCACAGGGGTTGGGAAGGGAGGGAAACTTCCTGAGCTCTGGTTGAAGGTGGGTCCCCAGTGCTTGGGGTGTAGGGCCAGGATGACTTGGAGACAATTAAACAACAACAACAACAACAACAACAACAAAACATCGGGGGCGCCCCAGGTCGCCCGCAGGGCTGGAAGGCAGCGCGGTGTTGGTGGAGGGCTCAGGGCTGCAGGGCTGAGGGCACGGGCGGCCTGCCTCGCGCTGCCACCGCCGCGCCCCTTGTCCCCAGAGTGGCCGCTGGTGAACCTTCTAGTCCTTTGCAACGAGCAAACCAACCTAATAATAATAAAAAACAAACAGCAGCAGGAGCAGCAGCGGCCCGTGTTAGCCGTGGCCATGGCCGGGGCCGACCCACCGGCAACACCAGGCCATCTCCTCCTTTGGAAAAGCGATGCGAGGCGATGCGAGGGGGGCTGCCCTCACCCATCCCGCCGCCCGAGCAGGGTGGCCAAGGCCCCGGACCGCGACGGGCGGCGGGTCAGTGCAATTCGATGAAGGCCTCCAGTTCCTCGGGCAGGAAGCCCTTGTAGGGGACCTTGTTGCGGTCGAGGGCTCGAGCCGCCAGGCACTGCAGGGTCACATGGCGGAAGGGTTGCACGGAGCTCTTGGCCAGGAGCGATTCGTCCAGCAGCTCGTAGGCCGATTTCTTGAAGGCGTTGGTGGCGTCCATGTGGGCGCCGGCTTCGAGCAGGGCGTTCATGACGGCAGGGCAGTTGTTGCGCGCCGCGATGTGCAGCGGGGTGTTGTTGTCGAAGTCTCGGCTGTCCGGGTCGGCCCCGCACTCCAGCAGGATGCGCACCACGGGCAGCGACGGGAAGCGGCCCACCGGGTAACGGCCCACGTGGGTCGTGTCCTTGTCGGCGGCCATGTGCAAAGGCGTGAAGCCGTTGCGGCCCCTCGGGGAGCATTTGAGCAGGCGGTATACGGTCTGGCGCTTGAGGTGTTCCTGGCTGGGCGTGCCCTGCACCTGCTCCAGCAGGTACAGCAAATGCAGGATGATGACGAGGGCTTTGGCGAACTGGGCCGAGTCCCCCGGCGCCTGGGGCAGCTGCAGGGCCCGCTCCACCTCCCGCACGCCTTTGTTGAGGACTCCCATGAGGTCCGGGAAACCGATGTGCGTGCCCAGGCTGCCCCGCGTCCCTGCCGCCGCCGCCGCCCGATCCTGCAGCACGTAGGAAAAGAGTTCAGCGAAGGACAGAAAGCTGCTGGCGGTCATGGGGCTCAAGGGTTCCAGGTGGCTCTGCTGCATGTCCAGCGCGTACTTCCAGAGGCGGATGCAACGTTCGAAGTTGCCCGAGTCGGCGTACACGGCGCCCCGGTAGCGGATATAATAGGACGTGTCCGGGTGCGAGGGGCCTAGGATGCGCTCTCGGATCAGCAGCGCCTGCGTGCGCATCTCGTCAGGATCGGCCACGAGCGCTTCCAGCTCGTCGGGGGTGCGCGCCTCGCGCGAGTATCCGTAAGCCGGCACGGGCTGCGGGGGCTCGGGCTTGGCCAGCCGGGCGCCACCCTGCAGCCGCAGCTCCATGGCGCGTCTCCAGTGCTTGAGCGCGCCCAGCAGGTCCCTTTTCTTGTCCACGTAGGTGGCTCCCAGCAGCTCCAAGGCCTCCACGGCCGCCTCGAGGCTGGTGGGGCAGCAGCTCTCGCCGCGGGCAGCTGCGTCCTCCCCGTCCATCCCCTCCTCCTCCTCCTCCTCCTCCCCGTCCTGGCAGGGCGCGCCCAGCAGGTGCGGCTGCGGTGGCTGCTCCTGGATGAGGTACTCCACGATGTGCGCGTGGCCCGTCACGCTGGCCGCCAGCAGCGGGGTCATGCCGTAACCATCGCGTTCCATGCGCGCCCTGCAGCCCAGCAGCAGCTGCAGGATCTCCAGGCTGCCGGATTCGGCGCAATCGTGCAGGGCCGTGTTGCCCTTGGCGCTGCGCCGGTTCACCCGCGCGCCTCGCTCCAGCAGGTAGCGGGCGATCTCGCGGTGTCCCTTGTAACAGGAGATCATGAGGCACGTGTGGCCGTGCCGGTTGGCCACCTCCAGGTCGGCCTGGTGCTCGCCCACCAGGTACCGCACCACGTCCAGGTGGCCGTCGAAGCAGGCGGCGCGCAGCGGCGTGGAGTTGGTGCGCGTCGTGCGGTTCACCGACGCCCCGCGCCGCAGCAGGCTGCGCACCACCGACAGGTGCCCGGCGGCCGACGCGGCCCACAGCGGCGGCGCGCCCTCGATCGTCTCCCCGTCGAAATGCACCGAACCCCCGGCCTCCACGCTCGCCCCGCACCGGTCCACCAGGTACTCCACCACCTCCAGGTGCCCATAGCGCGCCGCGATCAGCAGCGGCGTCCCCCCGCACGCCGCCTCGCCCAGCACCTCGTCCAGCTCCTCACGGCTCCGGCCGCACAGCAGCTTCTGCAGCAGCTGCAGTTTACCGTCGCGGGCCGCGTTGTACACGGCCGTGTGCAGGTCCATCGCTTCCCGGCTCACACCCCGCCCGGGGACCCCGCAACCTTCACCGTCTCCCCCGCCGCCGCCGCCGCCGCTCCGCCATCTTACCGCAGGCCCCGCCCACCTCCCCGCCGGAAGTCCTCCGCAAGCAGCAAAATGGCGGCCCGCCCGAGCATGCCGGGAAATGAAGTCCGCGGCGCCTCGCCACCGAGCGCGACGGGAGGAGAGGAGAACTACCATTCCCAGAAGGCGGCGCGGCGGCGCCTGGCTCTCTCTGACCGCGGTGCCTGATGGGAATGGTGGTTCTCAGTTGGCTGAGCAGCCGCGGATGCTTTCCACTTAAGAAACTACGACTCCCGCCATGCAGCGCTGCCACAGGGGTTCTGGGAACTCAGATGACGTATTTCCTGCAGCTGTCACTGAGCCGGTGCCCGCCCCCTGCCAGGCAGAGACTACAAATCCCGAAGGGCATTGCGAGAGACTCGAAGCCAATCAGGAGCGAGAACGAAGAGTTTGGAGCAGTTGCGCCTATGACCGCCAGAAGGCGCTCAGCATTGTTTATGGAGTTATGAAGTTAAAGATATATTGTTTTTATTAGAAAAGTCACATTTACAGAGAGAAGGAGAGACAGAGCAGAAGATCTTCCGTCCGCTGCTTCACTCCCCAAGTCGCTGCAATGGCTGGAGCTGATCTGATCCAAAGCCAGGAGCCAGGAGCCTCTTCGGGGTCTCCCACGCGGGTGCAGGGTCCCAAGGCTTTGGGCCGTCCTCCACTGCTTTCCCAGGCCACAGGCAGGGAGCTGGATGGGAAGTGGAGCAGCCAAGATATGAACCGATGCCCATCTGGGATGCTTGCACATGGAAGGTAAAGAATTTAGCCACTAGGCTACTGTGCCGGGCCCAGGACTCAGTATTTTACTTGAATTTAGGGGTCACAGAGAGGGGAGAGGCACAGACAGATCTTCCATCCGCTGGGTCACACTCCCCAAGTGGCCGCACTAGCCGGGGCTGGGCCAGGCGGAAGCTAGCAGCCAGGAGCTCCACCTGCGTCTACCGCGTGGCTGCGGGGGTCCTCACCCGCTCCCTGCCAGGGTCTGCTGTAGCAGCGCCGAACCCAGACCCTTCAATCCTGGACACAGGTGTGCCGTGCGACCCTCAACGCCATCACCCCCATCATCACCCCCATCACCCCCATCACCCCCATCATCACCATCATCACCCCCATCACCACCATCATCACCATCACCATCACCCCCACCCCCATCACCACCATCATCATCACCATCATCATCACCATCATCACCCCCATCACCATCACCACCACCATCATCACCACCGCCAGCTCCTTCGGGGCGCCCCAGCTCTGCGCCCCCGTCCTGGGTCCTGGGGGTGTCATTGTTCAGTGTTCTTTCCCTAACACCTCCTGCGAGCACCTGTGACCACGCAGGGCCCAGCGAGGGGATGCTAACACTGTTGGCCGCGTTGGAGTGGAGGTATGGGACACAGGCGCTCAAACCAGACACCCTGGCGCCCCCTGCACTGTGTGAGGCTGCCGCTTGCCTCAGTTTCCCCATGTGGTGAGTGGTGATGGGGAGAGGGACAAGACAGGCTCCCAGCATCCAACCGCTGTTCCTCTGCATCCAGCTCCCTGCAGAAGGCATGACCGCCCCACCGACGACCCCCCACGACCCCCCGGCCCTCACAACGGGCTCCACCTGCTGTCACTGAGCTCAGAAGAATCTCCCTGGTGTGTGTCGCATCAACAGTGAGGCCAGAACGGGGTGTTCGTCCCTTGGCTGTGTGGCCTCAGCCTTCGCCACCTCGGACAACGCAGGGTTTCCAGGGTCTTGGCGGGGGGGAAGCCCGGGGCCTGAGTGAAATTCACCATTCATGGGGCAGCAGATCCTCCTGCAGCGCACGGAGAGGGAGGGGAGCCGGGGAGGGCTCAGGCCCAGGCTCCCGCACAGGCGAGGGAGGCTCGGATGGGGCTCCTGGCTCCTGTTTTAGGTCCAGCGCAGCCCTGGCTGCTGTGGGCGATGGGGGCTGAAGCAGCAGAGGGAAGAGCATTCTCTCTCTCTCTCTCTCTCTCCTGGAAACTCAGACCCCCCCACACACACACACACACATACACACATACATACAAGGCTCCACTCCCCAGTCCACAGCTCCCAAGCCAGCCAGGCATCAGGAAACCCACGTGGGTCTCCCCGACAAGCTTGTTCTGCATACGACGGTCCCACCCCCGGCAGACCCCCACACCACATTTGCTGTAGTTTATTAATATTCATATTATGGTGATTTGCCATTGCTGAGTCCTGGACCGGTGGGGTGTGCTGGTGGGGCACCCTGGACGCAGCAGGTGCAAGGGAGTGTTGTGTGTGCACCCCCAACCTGCGTCTTTGCACTCCCACCTGCCAGGCGCCCCTTCCTCGCCGTTCCTCGCCACCGCCTCGGCCACCTGGGGGTGCAGCCGGAGAGGGGGGGGAAAGGAGGGGGACCCTCAGGATGGAGCTGCCTGACAGCAGACGGGCAGGCGAGGGGCCAGGCCCGGCCCTGGCACCATCTGGGCGCCTGGTCCCCGGGGTTACCTGTGCCTGGGCGCCAGGCTCGCTGCAAACGCGGGCCGGCCATGCATAGGCACAGCTTGGGCTGCGAGCCAGGTGCACGCCGCGGGGTGTCATCAGTGGCTTCCTGTGCCCGCCTGGGCCGCTTAAATGCTGTGGCTGATGCGGGCCCACGGCCCGGGCTGGGCCACCTGCGGGAGCCTGGGCCGAGCTGCGGGGCTTTAGGAGTCGATGAGGAGGAGGGGCCCTGGGCAGCCCTGCGTGGACTCTAGAATGCATGCTGCTTTTCTCAATGGAAAAAAATACATATATATATATATATTTTTTTAAAGATTTATTTGTGTTGGAAAGTCAGAGGTACAGAGAGGAGGAGAGACAGAGAGGAAGATCTTCCATCTGATGATTCACTCCCCAAATGGCCGCAATAGCTGGAGCTGAGCTGATCCAAAGCCAGGAGCCTCATCGGGGTCTCCCACGCGGGTGCAGGGACCCAGGGCTTTGGGCCGTCCTCTGCTGTTTTCCCAGGCCACAGACAGGGAGCTGGATGGGAAGTGGGGCCGCTCGAATGAGGATACAAATTGGTGTGTGTATGGGATCCTGGGGCATGCAAGATGAGGACTTGAGCCGCTAGGCTACTGCGCTGGGTCCTGGAAAAAATATTTTAAACTCACAGGAAAAGAGCAGAATAGCTCCCCCCCCCCCCAACACACACACACACACACACACACACACACACACACACACACACACACACACACACCTCTCTGGACGGTATGCAGCGCCACAGCCATGGGTCTGCTATGAGGGGCTGGGAGACAGCAAAGACCCCAAGAATGAGAGGCACGGGGTGCCAGGGGGCAGTCCAGGGTGCACAGGAAGACGTGGGAGGGAGGGAGATGTGTTTCCTTCGGGACACGTTTGTGTTTGGGAATTGATGGAGAAGGGACAATGAAAGGTGACACCTGGCAGGGGATGCCTTCGCCAAAGGGGGCGCTGCAGTCCTACGGTGGCCAGACCTTCCCCGGGGGGACGGAGGCTGCTGGTGTGTGTGTGTGCGCGTGCGTGTGTGTGTGTGTGTGTGTGTGCGTGTGTGTGTGTGTGTGTGTGTGTGTGTGTGTGTGTGTGTGTGTGTGTTCCCTGGTCTCTTCTTCCCACAGGAAGCCCTATTTGGGGACAGTCACAGCTTAAGGACCCAGGGCTGCTCTTCGTGAAAAAGACCGTGGGCATGTCCTGGCGTCTCTGTGTGTGCCTGACACGGCGTGTCACAGTTTAGCCCACACTTCCTTCCCGTGGGGTCACACTCAACCCCTCAACCCGAGCGTCCCACAGTGTCCCCCTTGTTCCCTGTCCGAGGTGGTGGTGTGTTGGGGGGAACCTCAGCACCCCCTGCTCCCCACTACCCCATGAGAGCTGCCCCCCTAGGGTGGTGGGCTCAGCCCTGTCAGGCTTGCTCTGAAGGAGTTTGGTCAAGCAAAGATCTAGAAGGATCTAGAATGTTCTCCCTTCGACAATGCCGCCTGAAAAAAATGTCCTTAAACAGAGGCAACAGGCGAGGCCGGATGGATACACAGATCTTTCTACCAAGAGCCGCCAGGGCTGCGTGGTGGACCCGGGGACCCTCAGCTCCTGGTACTGACCCCACGGTCCAGACACCAACTTGGGGGGTGGGGTACGTTCCCCCCAAACTGTCCCCATGTTTCGATTCCATCCTTGCTTTGCATCCCAACATACTTCTTGTTCTATCCGGTTCGGCCGGGAGCCTCTCACCATCCCTTCCTGCTTATTCTGGAAAAACTGGGGCTCCTGGCACACCTCTCACCGCACCCCTCCTGCTTCTCCCACGGGGTAACTGAGCCTGAGGGGGGATGAGGTGTCCCCAGAGTGGGAGGACCCCTTCAGCCTTCTTACCCCTGAGCTGTTCCCCGTCCATACTCCCACCCACCCCCGGCACCTGCCGTCCCAGCTGCCCTCCCCCACCGTCCCAGCTGCCCTCCCCCACCCATCTCCCTGGTCCCAGTCCCCTCCCCCAGATCGGGCTGGGCAGTGCCCGGGGTTCCTGCAAGCAGAAAAACCAAGGATGGAGATGGGCAGAGCCCGGGAGGCAAAGTGGGTTGGATTGGTCGGGCGGGCGGCCGGGCACCCTCTCCCTCCCTGGCTGCTGCGAGCCTGTTGTCATGGAAACGCAAGCCACATCTCTCTTCTTGGCAGGCCCCGTGAAGACACCGGAAATGGCTCAGGCTCGCTCGGTCACGCAGCCCTTCTCGCTCCCCACTCGTTTCTGGAAGGAAGAGGAGGAGGAGGTGACCACGGTGGGAGCCCCCCGGGGTGGGGGCTTCCAGATAATAGTTGCTCTCCTCTTCCCATAGGAGACCCCAAGCTGTTGTCAGAGCCCTGCCAAGGCTGGACCACTGCGGGAGACCCCAGACCCTGTGCCCACCTATGCCAGAGGGGCCCATGCTCAGTGCTGCCCTGACTCCCACCCAATTCGGGACTCAAAGGAACCT